ACCAATCTACTGCTTCTAGATGACCCTCTATCAGCTGTGGACGCGGATGTTGGCCAGCACATCTTCAACAAAGCTATTCTTGGCTTATTACGTGGGAAAACCTGCATTCTGGTGACCCACCAAAGGCACATCATCACCCAATGCGATCGTATTTTGTGGCTAGAAAAGGGCCATATTAAGGCTTCTGAAAGCCTGTCCAATTCATCGTCTCGAGATGAATTGCTGTCGCATTTGATTCCTACCCAGGAGGATTGCCAGTCAAAGAGTTCGAAGAATGCAGAACATGATAGGTTGGGCAATGAAGACTACGGAGTAGTACATAGTCACCAAGATCACAGTAAGGAGTTATGGTGGTTAAAATGGCCTGTTATTAAAACTAACGGACTTCTTACAGACACAATGATAGACAGCGAGACTCAAAAGTCGGGCAGTGTGCACAGGTCTGTTTACAAAACGTACCTTTCAGCTTCGGGCTCGATCTTCCATTGGCCTATTCTATTCTCTCTATTGACCATCTCCCAAATAGCTGGGATCTTCACTAGCGTTTGGTTATCATGGTGGGTGGATGACATCTTAGGGTGGAATAACCGTGGTTATATAGTCGGCTATGTCATTTTCGGGGTAGTCCAGAGCGTTCTCGCGTGGGCGTATCTTAGTCAGGCTTCAATTACCGGCTTGCGAGCTAGTGACAATTTGTTTAAGGCAGCTCTCCGGCGTGTCTTGTACGCGCCTATGTCATTTCACACTGCCAATCCAGTTGGCCGGTTGATGAACCTGTTCTCCAGTGACGTGAGTCAGCTGGACAATGGTGTTAGTGGCTCAGTCCAGGCATTCTTCATGCTAATTGGCATTGCTTTCTCCACATTCCTACTGATATCTGTCCAGTTTCCTCTTGTAAGTGGAATATAGCAGTTGAAGTTACAGTTGCGTTCTATTGCATTGGCTTGGCCTTGAACTGATATATGATCTTTGCAGTTTGTATTATCTTTGCCAGTGATTTATTTGGTCGTATACTATACTTCTAGCTATTATCGCGCTTCCAGGCAGGAGTTGAAGCGCTTCGAGACTATATCACGCTCTAATGTTGCAGGAAATACCGTTGAGTGCATTGCAGGCCGTCAGACCATCCGAAGCTTTGGCGTCCAGCATATTTTCCAAAGTCGATTGGGTGTCGCCATCGATGAAGCGAGTAACTTTTCATATTTGATGTCAGCAAGCCAGCAGTGGTTGAACCTCCGGCTGGATACACTGGGCAATGTTCTCATTCTGTTTGTCGGCGCCTTGATTGTCATGTCCGACAACTCCATTCCAGCAAGTATGTCTGGTTTGTTAATGACATACGCCATCGCTGTCGTACAAATAATCCCTGGCATTGTTTCCCAAACCGCTGAGATTGAAAACTCTTTCATCACAGTCGAGAGAATGATATATTATGGCAATGAAATCCCGACAGAGATGTCCGAGTCAGCTACTGTGCCACCATCAACCTGGCCAGAAACGGGAACCATAATCATGAAGGAAGTCAGCCTACGCTACCACAGTGATCATCCCCAAGCACTGCAAGATGTCAGCCTCACAATCAATGATGGGGAAAAAGTCGGCATCATTGGGCGTACCGGTGCAGGCAAATCCTCAATTGTATCCGTTCTTTTTCGACTTTTCCCTCTGGAGCATGGGTCGGTTGTCATTGACAATGTGAACATTGCAAATTTGAACCTTCACTCCCTGAGATCCAAATTAGCTATCATTCCTCAAGATCCAACCCTTTTCCAGGGCACGGTTCAAACAAACTTGGACCCCTCTGGAGAATACCCAGATGATGTTCTCTGCGATGCACTTAAGAAAACCAACCTTTATCCGCAAGTGCACCTTGACCGAGAAGTTCTACCAGATGGCAAGAACTTTTCTCTTGGTGAGCGACAGTTGCTAGCGTTGGCACGTGTTTTGGTGCGAGATCCTCGCATCCTCGTTTGTGACGAGGCTACTTCTGCCGTTGACCAAGACACGGATCGAGCAGTGCAGCAGACACTGCTAGAGGAATTCCAGGACCGAACAGTAATCTGCATTGCCCATCGACTGCAAACGATCATACGTTATGACCGAATCTGCATAATAGACCAAGGTAGAATTGTCGATTTCCAGAGTCCACTTGCATTGTTCGATAAGAATGTCGAGTTCCGCCAGATGTGTGAGCTCAATCACATCACCCGCAAGGACATTGTTTAGTACGAAGCTGTGGTCTACCCTGCTATTTCGGAGTTTCTTTTTTAGTTGCTGGGTACGATGTATAGAGATGGCCCTTACAAACATCCCTTGTTTACCAGGTTTCCATCGCGCTCTGGTGATTAGCGAGGCGTTTTGTTCCATAAAAAGTCAGCTGTCTTATCAAACATTATTAAGCAATTTTATGTTAAAATACTCGTTTATATATCACATAGTAAATGCTAGGATAGAAACGAAAACAAGCTAAACATAAACATCTGAGGCTCTGGCAATCGAGTAGCCATACCTCCAACCTTTGCACCCTTCACGGCAGCCTTAGCGAGGCACTGTTCAATATGCCTTCAAATCGCCCCCGACAGAAGATATTTCCCTGAGCCCACTTTCCAACGTAGGATTGTTGAAATTAAGACCGCTTTACGCTCCATCCTTGTCATTCTCCGCTGAAGCAGCTGTTTGCTGCATTTGCATATTTTTCATCATCTCTGCCGCTTCGAATGAATACTTGCACTTCATCCGAACCAATGCACCATAACGATACATGATCAACGGGAATGGCATGCACACGAGAGTCATGAATGCTGGGATGGAGGATGCCCAGTGAATTCCCAGATTGTGATACATCTGTGTTGTGAATAGGGGAAAGACAGCGCCCACGACCGAGCGGAAGATGGCAGCTGCAGCCAGGACAGAGGCCGCATAGATTGTGTAAGTATCGATCAAATAGTTCATTATGGGTAGAATGACAAGTACACAACCGAATCCGAACGGCGCAGACAGGATGATACTAACAGACCAGTGGATGCTGGGGTAGTTGGTCCAGGCAAAGGCGAACATGCCGATGGGGAGGGCGATACCTCCAACAATCGCAGGTGGCAAGCGAGACTCAGCCGTTGCAGATTTCGCCACGGATAGCTTCATGTAGCGGCCGTTGTTGTCCCATATAGCATAAATCAGTCCAAAGATGATACCAACAGCAATTCCCAAGAATGACAGTCCGCCGGTGCCCTCGCTCCAACCTCGGTCTTCATTGTACACGATCGGCATAGCGCCCATAAACATGTAGACAGTGCCGTAGATAATAGCCATGTAGAGTGACGATACCAAGACAATGGGCTCGAGGAAGAGAAAGATCCAGGGACGGAACAAAGCGCGCTTGAAGACTTCCGATGGTTTTTTCTTCCCCTGGTTCTTTTCCAGAATGCTCACATAGACCTTGCCATTAGCCTTGGAAAGCTGACATGCCCGTCGTTGAAGCAGCACTGGGCCGTATGTCTCAGGAATGAAGGCGATGCCCAGAATGCCGATTATGCCAATGAAGATCACGCAGACACCTTGTACCCATCTCCATCCGATGTTCTCAGACACGAACCCGCCCACGATTGGACCCAAAATGGGACCGAGGAAGGGTGCAACACAGTAGATAGTCAACGCTAGGCCACGCTGAGCAGGCGGGAAGAGATCGGCAATAGTTCCACCAGAGTTGACTAGTGGTGAGCCGCCAAATGTGCCGGCAAAAAATCTCAGTATAAGGAGGGTCGCCACGTTTTGGCTGCCTGCAGATCCTCCCAGAAAGGCGACCATGGCGATATGAGTGTTAGCCCAGAGAATCTGTCTTCCATATAGTTCCGATCTTGATCTAATGTTAGCTATTGGACTCTGCGTACAATACATGTATAGGATGGCATTATCGAGACTTACTGTTGAACAAAATATGGTTAGTTAGGGTTACTCAAAGTGACATATGGTTTAATGACTTACCAAGGGACCCCATACGGCAGGGCCAATTGCAAATCCTAGCACAAAGAGAGAAAGGCCGACAATGAAGACCTCGGTGTTGACGTCAAAGTCCTGCAAGACTTCATTTGCTGACACAGAGTATGCGGAGGAGGTAAAGGTCACGGCAAAAACCGAGAAAGTCGCAATGGCTGCAATGAACCATTTGCGGGACTCACTCCAATTCATCGGATTGTTAGGGTCGTCTTTCTGGAACTCTACCACGAATGGATCATCTTCGGTGCCAGAGCCATCAAAGGTGTAGCCGCCTTCGACCTCGCCTACATCAGCAGGTGCTTTTGTCTCGTTATCAGACATGTAGTTGTCTTAACAGTTCAAGGGAGGAATATATAGATCAATATAGTGGATTGGTTATGGCCAAGACTGGAAAAGAAAATAACGGAGAGGGGGACGGAGCTAGCTCTTTCTCTGAACAAATTGGATATTATTGAGAGCGCAAATTTCAACTCCAGACTGTCCATGAAGAGAGCCTTTTTTTTTGTCGTGGCTTTCGATCTATATAACGGTTTAGCAGACGGCGAAGCATCAAAAACGGACTGCTCTTTCATTGGTCAATCGATGGAAGACGCACGCACTTCAAGGTTCTCATTGGCTGCTTTCTGTAATTAGTGGAGATTATCAACGAATGAAAGAGCTTTCCGCAGTGGGCCAGTCTTTGACGCGGCATGTAATATGATTGGTGGACCATCTGATTATCAATCCAGTAGATCGCCCTGGGCGACGCGGGTTCACTGTCCTGTCAGATACGGGAGCAAAGAATATACATTAGAAGTGATGATTGAGCAGGACACACCGTCGAAGCCATTACGCAGGCAGAGACTGAGAGTCTCAAACGCCTGTCAATTATGTCGCTTGAGGAAGATAAAATGTGATGGCGCTCGCCCAGGTATCTCTTACTTCCATTGTTCCATTAGCCCCCAGACCTCGTGCACAAGGCTGACACAAACCATACAGCATGCACCAGATGTCAAGAGAGAGGGAAGATGTGTGCTTATGGCCACGTTGCCAATGCCGTTAAGAAACAGACAAAGTGTAAACCTCGTGGACAAACATCATCAGTTCACAACCCAGTTCCTATGCTGGCTCCCCTCACATCTTCGGCACCTTCACTTCAAACTCCACCAGCATCGGTAGCTGCAACTCCTACAACGTCTGATTCACTGCCTAGATCTCATCATGTGGATAAGCATCAAGAGGTAGAGCCTAACCGGGCATATTATACCACACATGGGCAGTTTGCCGGCCAGGTTGCTGCTGCCATTGATATGAGGGCAGGGCTCATTCCCACCGCTTGTCATCAGATCCCACTCGTAGATGCGCCGCTATTTGGAGATCTTGATCTACCTTCTCAATCCTGTCTTTTGTCTTCGTCGACCGAATTGCCTCCCCGGGCATATGGCGATCAATTGATTGACATATACTGGCAGTACGTTGACCCTATGGAGCCAGTGCTAGATCGCCAGCGCTTCCTTGAAAATTATGAAAAAGCATATTCAACACCTATGATGCCACCCTACAAAGACTACGACGTCTGGCTTGGTATTCTCAATGTAGTGTTTGCCCTGGCGATTCAAAGACAAGAAAACATCATACTGCACCAAAGAAACGAGGAAGGAAATTGCTTTTTTCAGCGCGCATGGGCCCTGCTTCCGGCAGAGTCTATGCTATGGAAACCCGCATCACTTGAACTCGTACAGTGCCTGATGCTGATGAATCGATACCTCCACTGCACCAACAATCAACAGAAGACATGGATGACGGCGGGGTTGGCGATGCGAATTGCACAGAACATGTGCTGCCATCTGTCCGAGATGCCCTTGGTGCACGGATTTAGTGATAACAAAGCCCTGAAACAGAAGGTATGGGCTAGCTGTGTTGCGCTCGATCGGTATGTCATGGAATGATTTCTCTTCCATGGTCGTCACTCACTCACTCACTCACTTCATATAGATGCATTTCCTGGTCACTGGGTAAGACCTCGTCATTGGTGCTAATACCATCCCCGCCAAAAGCTAGCTCCCAACAATTAGCCCAGAAAGCGATGCATGATACCTGGGGATTGGGACTCCACGAAATCGGAAATCAAATTCAGTTGGCGCAGATACAGACGCGAACTAGTCTCGCAGGCAGGTTTCGCCCTCCAGTCCTATCTCAGCAAGACGAGTACCAGAATGCGGCATTGCAACTAGATGCATGCCTTCAAGATTGGGAAAATAGTCTCCCCAGCGATTGGCAGTCGCAAAACCTCAGAATGATTGTTGACAGGTCGTCCCGAGCTGAGCGATACTTGCTTCATCTTCGGTAAGCTAAGAACTCTTTAACCTCACTCACCACAATCGATTTTTATTGTTCTATGTAGCTACCTCCACCACCGGATCTTTCTATTCAGACCTATGCTCGCCCACTTCTACTCAATGAAAACAGACACCCACCCCTCACTAAAACCACAAAGTCTAAGCCACCGGCTCCTACGTGAAAGTGCCAGCATGTGCATTGAAGCCGCGCAGCAGGTGACCTCACTAGTTAACGAGACGCTCGAGTCAGATGAGCCAATCGGAATTCTTCCATGGTGGTACAGAATATACTACCTTCACATCGCAGGTGCCAACTTCCTCGCAGCTATGTTCCAATCAGAACTTTTCACAGATTCTGTTTCCCAGTCTTGGAAGAGTGTGCTTCTGGCACTTCACGCCCATGAACACTTAAGCCCCTACGTTCAGCAATGTGTGTGGACATTTGAGACCCTCGCGGCCAGGATTATGGGCAAGCCTTACCCCAGTATGGATGGCAGTGGGTGTGACTTGATGGTAGATGGGTCTTCTGAAGTTTCTTTCGATGATATTTTCAAGGATGTCAACTTTGACTTCGACAATTTTATATTTGGGCCAGAGGACTTCTCAGAAGGGTTGGTTTAGTGGAGAGGTCATTTAGGAGTGCAAGAGGTCACATCCCCCTGTCTATATCGGAGTACCGACGGGCGACTGTTTCACATTTCCATAATATATGGCAGCCTACGACATGTACACATGTAGAATTACCTAGATATATAACTGATATATAACTAACTATTTATTGGATTAGCTTGCCTCCGTGGAGATGAGTACCCCACTAGGTACGTATCGTGTACCAGGAACTTCCGGGAACCCTTGTAGAAACAAAGATAAGAGAAGTATTAACTGGCTCCAGTTATATTTGAATTACAAAGGGTGAGACACAATGTATCGACTTTCTCACAACTCGCGCGACACAACACCACGATAGAACTTCCGAAACTATTCATCCCCAAAATGGCAATCAATAATACTAAAACATATCGCCTTTGCTCATACTTCCGCTCGACATGCACAAATCGTGTGGTTATTGCTATGCACCTTAAGGGCATCCCTGTTGAGCACAACTACATTGATCTCGGCAAGGCCGAGCACGAAAGCCCTGAGTTCCAAGCTCTGAATCCAAGCAAATCCGTACCGATCCTCATCATCAAGGAAGACGGGAACGAGACTGTTCTCACCCAATCAATCGCTATTCTGGAGTACTTGGAAGAAAGCCTGCCCACCCTGACACCACTACTACCTCCAAGTGGGGATCTAGTGCAGCGTGCCCGGGTCCGAGAGATGGTGAACATCATCACTAATGATATCCAACCTATCACCAATGGGCGGATCGCTAAAAGAGTCCGTGCCATTCGAGGTGAAGCCAAGGATCAGATCACGTTTGTTACAGAGGTATTTCTCGCTGGTCTGACGGCGTATGATGAACTACTGGCCAAATATGGAGGGCAATTCTCGGTGGGGGATGTTGTGACCATGGCTGACGTTTGCTTTGCACCGGCGGTGGAGATGGCGCTTGCTTATGGAACCAACCTGGATGGACTACCACACGTCGTGGGATTATTTAAGAAGTTAGGGGAATTGCCGGCGTTTCAAAAGGGGAATTGGAAGGTGCAAGGCGATACACCCGAAGCTATGAGAGGCCCATAGAGGCAACACATATAGCTATCGTGATAATGCCATTGGCAAATATTAAAAAAAAGCTTTGGTGATACAGAAATTCAGAGTTGAACAGGGATGCATTTCATATATCATAATACTTTCGCGATCATTTCACATGCGAAAGGACTGTACTATCAGCATGCGATTAGCTGTATATTGCAAACTGGAAAGCAGAAAAGCAAAAGCCACGATGCCTGATCAACACCAACACCAAACTGAACCAAAAAAAAAACCGGACGAATAATCGCCATTCCCGATTTGCGTGTTCATGCCCCAACATCACCAGAAAACTTCGGCGATCACATTCCCTAAGGTACTCACACACCAAACAGCGATAAGACCCCACCCGACCCTGCGATCCATTCTCCAGTTGTTCATAGGAACAACAATCAAAAGCCCAACCAGGATAATCAAAAGCGTCGCACCGCTGATAACGAGTACCTTGGAGATGGCAATCTCATAGGGGACTTGCACAGGGGCGATATCCTGCAGCGCCTCATTGTGTCTCTTGTTCCCACCATTAATGGTCATATACAAACCACCAAGTCCAATACCAAGGAGGATATTGAGCATAGGACCACCGAAGCAGGCGCTGAGGGCCATGACCGGATACCCCAGTCGGGCAACTGTGATGTCAGCGACTAGATCGCCTAGCGAGTTCCCGACAGCGAAGATGGTCAATCCGAGTAGGGAATCAGAGATGTTGAGGATAACGCCGATGGTCTTGAGGAGGGAGACAACTTCTGTGGCAATCGTGGCAATCCAGGATATGGCTACTAAGAAGCCAAGCAGGGAGAGGAAGGGCCGCCATTGCGATGGGAGGGTGGCGAGGTGGGGCTGGGATTCGTGAGGGAGAAGCGGAATAGAAAGATCCGCACTGAGACGTCGGCTGTTTCGTTGACGACGGGTGCTTATTATGAGGCCTGTGAGACAAATGGAGGAGAATAAGAGGGAGACAAGGGAGGGGAGAATGAGGTTGCGCAGCTGACGGTCTTCATCCACAGTCGTCCAGGCAATGAGTACGACGAAGAAGGGACCCGTGAAAAGCTGGATGGAAACCAGCCAACGATTCCAGTCTTTTGTTGGCAAAGGATTCACAGTAGGTGAGCTCGGCACTGGCACTGCCGGGAGTTCTGAGTCCCATCGGGGGCGGACGGTGTGTTCGTACGAGGACTTTCGATGGGGGTGGGTTGGCGGCATGCTAGAAGCTGACCCGTCATGGTCATGTGCCTGAGCCACGAGCACTGGACTATCGGCTGGCAGTCTAACCCTCGGGGAAGGATTCTCTCCATCATCGACGTCCTGAATGATCACCGAGGGTATAGGGTCTGGGTCCACAAACTCTGGTGTCTCAGGCTCAACGACTGGGACAGTTATGGTAAGAAGCAAGACACTGGGAGCTGCGATAATACCGAGCAATCGTTCCCACACAGTTTTAGATTTCCAGCCCGCCAAGGTCGGGAAGAGTGTGCAACCAATCTGCTGGGGAGGGGGAATCGAGTCAGGCCACCAATTCCTGAGGTATTTTCCGAAAGGGAGGCCTACATGAGCGAAATCACCATGCCCGTCATGGACTTGTAGCCGTTCTAACGGGCTGGCTGAACTTGGAAGTCTAATGCTGGGTGGTCGTGAGAGTGCCATGGAGGGTACATCAGTATACGATGGGAAGGGCACTGAGGGGCTTTCTAGCCCGAAGCCTGAATAATGGCGGGTTGTAGTGCCCCTGGGAGATACTGACATTGGAGACCGGTCATTTATCCCTCCGTTGTGGTAATTGGGAGAGTTAAACGCGTCCGATGGAGCGAGCCGGTCAGGGCTTTGGGGACTTGTGGTACCTGGACTTAGACTCGGCGACTGGTTCGCAGAAGACACATCCAATGCCATCCCAGTATTAATTGGAGGGAGTTGGCGTGACTGCATGGCTTCTTGCCCCGAAGTGTCCTCAAAAGAAGGTTTGCTCACTGTAAGCAGTGGACCTTCTGGTGACCGGGGCTCTAAAACACTTGAGTCAAATTTCAACCCCAAGGCGTCATTCGCTGACACAGCTCGAACTCGAGATGAACCTCCTGCGCTGGACGGCGACAAGCGGTCATTACTAGTTGATGGTCGGCTAGCACGAGGATGCGATGCCACCGAGCGCGTGTCGAAATTGGACTCGTCATCTGAATAGCTGTTCAGGCTGATTGTCGGATTGTGACGGGTGCTTCTTGATTTCTGCAGTGAGTGAAGAACAGATTGAAACTCCAATGCACCGACAAGACTCGGTCGAATGGGATTCATCGTGTTACGTCTCGATTTCACGGGGCGATAGACATGCATGTTGTCACGAATCTCGGCCAAGTACCGGTTGCGTGTTTCATCGTCCTCGTCATCCTCTTCTTTCCATAGAGGAACAGGCTCGACACGTTCCAAAAGATCAAAATCCTCAGTCGAAGCTCCGCGGAGAAGACTTCGTGACTCTGACGCTACACCCGGATCATCGTCCTCAACGGACTCTTCGATCTCGAGTTCTTGGTTCTCCGGTATATGGAAGTGGGCTCGCGCTGCGAGATCTCTCTCGTTCTTTCGGCGTCGCCGCACCAGATACCAGTGCCACGTCACCACCAATACAACATAGAAGGCATACAAGCCTACCATTGCAGCTGACTCCCATACATGAAGTTTCCCATCGGCCAGCATAAACATGCTGAAAATAACGGCCACTATGAAATAGCCCACATCTCGGACAAAGCTCCTTCGCGCGACCTTGAATGGGCGAACTAATGCCATGGAGCCTGCGACAACGGAGGTGATAAAAGTTGCCGCGCCGATCAACTCACCAATCGCCAGGCTCCCACTATTCGACCGCATGGCGGCAAAAGTCGAAAACACGTCAGGGCTTCCATTGCCAAATGCAAGGAATGTCACGCCTGTGAGACTCTCGCTCAAACCTAGAATGCTAGCCAATGTACTCAGATCAATACACAGGAAATCGCTTGCCGCGATGCCGATGGTACTGAAGAGCAGTGACAGCCAGAGTATCAATATCGTGAATGCTACCGGTTTTGCATCTGCCAGCCCGCAATAGTAAAATTGAAGGTAAGAGATTAGGCCATCCTCGTGATCGGGGCAGTTGGCACGGACGAATGCACACTGGTGTTTAACATTGCGGACCGAGCGACACTATATAATTGTGTGACAGTACACCATTTAGTCTTCGGCTCCATCTCACAGGAAAGGGTTGGGAAAGGGAAAGATACCTCTAGTTCGGCATCTCGCCTGAACAGGTCTATATGTGGCTCTGTACCTGGTTGCGCAAACTGGCCATTTTCATGTGTAGTACCAGTTAGGAACCAACTCGCTGTTGCAACAAGTGTAAACACCAACAGCGTGGTATAAAATGGTCGGGTTGAGTATCGTGGCTTCCGGACGGCAGGCTGCAGGAAGGACGGCAGCTGGTTCATTATGGCGAAAAGTGTTGCGGCATCGTGGGCCGGAGACTTGAGATATTGTAGACTAACTTATACAAAAAGCATCAACATTGAAGACTCAATGCATGTACAATGTATACCCCACGCGTCCAACTGATGTTGGTTTGTATATGCGAGCGTGGTGAGTGCGGTGAGGAGTCCGGTGATGTCAGCTGGGAGGAGCTGTGGCGGACCTCGGGAGTGGGCCAATGCGGTTAGTTCACCGATCGTCGTTGCACTGAAGAAACAGGTTGAGGGGATGGATCGCAGATAGGATAACTATAAGTAAAACTAGATAAGATGGCCAAAAGGTAGTAGTTGCAATCAAATATGGGAGGATTAGTTGTTGAATGTTCAAAAGAATGGACCAGGGTACGATGTTGAAACCTGATATTCCAGGCATCAAGGATCTTGATTACGTGACGACCAGTGCGTCATTGGTGCGCCTCGACCACCGTATGTTTGTTGACTTCCCCATTTGTTTTGCTTCGACGACATCAACCCCTCTCTCTATCGAACTTTCCATCTCAACGCTGTTATCGCCATCCCCTATCGGGGGCAACCGCAACCATGCCGCGTGTCGCAAACAAGGTACATCGCCGTTCTAACGGTACCTCGACCCCGCACAAGAACTCTCCGGTCAAGTACGTATCTGGGTATTTCTTGGTGATAACAACCAACTAATTAAATCAGGATTCCCCTCAACGACGATGAGGGCGAGAAGGCAGCGCGTATGGAGGCTCGTCAAGCGCTTCATGATCGCCAAATGAGTCAGATTAAAGCCGCAGTCAAGACGCCTATGCCACCCCGGCGATACACCTACGATCGTGAAGGAAGCGACAGTCCCGCAACACCTCGGCCTTCCGGTCATCGCAGTCGCACTAGTGATGTCAATGGCCGCGCAGTAACACCGATGAAGCGCGTGCCGATCCTGGCCAATTTTGAAGAGTGGATGAAGATGGCGACCGATAACAAAATCAATGCGAATAACTCCTGGAACTTTGCGCTGATCGACTATTTTCACGACATGTCATTGCTGAAAGAAGGAGATGGTGTAAACTTCCAAAAGGCCAGTTGCACCCTTGACGGTTGTGTCAAGATCTACACCAGCCGAGTGGACAGTGTCGCGACGGAAACGGGGAAACTTCTAAGTGGACTGGCTGATAGCCGCGACAAGAGAGGGCGCGGGGAGGAGGAGGACGCAGAAGATGGCGATGAGGATGAGGAAGGCGAAGATGGTCAGCCTCGCAAGTCGCGCAAAAAGGTAGGATTTATACAGGATGAGAGATCTAGGATTTGACTAACTAGATGTGTCTAGACACGTTCCCACGAGGCTACCCTCGCCCCGTCATTCTCTTCATTGCAACTGAAGAAGTTCGAGCTAGAATTCGCTGTGGACCCGCTATTCAAAAAAGCATCAGCAGACTTTGATGAAGGAGGCGCCAAGGGCTTGCTTCTGAACCACCTCGCTATCGACAGCCATGGACGAATCGTGTTTGACAGCAGCGACGATGCTGTGGATGATAGCGCCAAAACTGCTGAAGATGACCGTCAAGGGTCTACGGATCCAGACCAGCAGACCGAGGACCAAACAAAACCAGCCCCGAAACCCGCAAGCGATACCTTTGAAGATAACACAGAAATCGACCTTGCCACTCTAGCTAGCCAGTTTTTCCCAGATTTGGATCGGCTCGACGAACAAGATATTTGTCCATCGCTCAAAAACCTCGACTTAGGTGATCCCAGCGGCTCGCTGGACCTCCCTCTCCTCAAAGCGCCAGATGAATGGCGGCAAGACAAGATGGACGAAGACGGACGCGCACCTGACGACCCATCTGGTATCATGCTCGATGACGACAACGCCGTCGGGTTTGACGACGATGATGCTACCCTTGCTGGATTCGATCTCAGTGGCGATACCGGGTTCGGTGACGGAGGAGAGGTATGGGCTCGGGAAGCCGCCTTGGAACCAATGTTAAATGTTCACCGGGTAGCCCATGATGGAGAGAATGATGGTGAGGGCGAAGATGGCGATGAAGACGCATATGCCATCTCTATGTCTCATCAAACTAATAGTCACGACCACGAAAACATTTTAAGCTACTTTGACAACGCGCTACAAAAGAACTGGGCTGGCCCAGAACACTGGAAGATTCGGAGAATCAAAGAACATGCAACACCGGCTACGTCAGCACCCAAGCAACGCAAAGAGAAGGAGCCCTTTGAGATTGATTTTGCTGCCCCTCTGGATCCTGCTGTCGCGGAATTGATCTATACACCGGCCAGCTCCAACTCCGCCGTCTCATTACCCAAGACGCAGTGGAAGACGAAGGGTCGCAACCTTCTTCCCGATGACAAGCATTTCAACTCCCGCAACCTACTCACACTGTTCCTCAAGCCAAAGGCAAAGATGGGCTCAAAGAAGATTTTGGGCAAACGCCGTCGGCAGGATTTGACGGCTGGTAATGGAGACATGGACGAGGCCTTCTGGGCAAATCGCAAACCGGAAGAAAACGCCGCGGAGGAAGGTGCTGCCGGTGCCTATGATGCCAACTTCTTTGCTGATGACGATGGTCTTGCTTTCCCGAACGGCATGGATCTCGATGACGACGACAATCTGCCATTCGCAGACGCCCGAGAGATGCTTTCTCCGCCAGCAGACGGACCTCAAGGCACATCAGCGGGAGAAGCAGGTGGAGCAACTGGACTCAGCGCGCTCTTGAATATGGTCGGCGCCACTCCTGGTCGACCGGGAGCTGGCGGCTACGGCTCACAATTAGTGACACAAGGTGGTCGCCGTGCACGACCAGACTACGTGGCATATGCACGTGTGGCAAAGAAGGTTGACGTCCGGCGCCTCAAAACGGAGATGTGGAAGGGCATGGGCGAGCGCTTGGTTGATGCTGTGGACTTCGCTTCGGCTTCACAACCAGGGGCCGTTTCCAGTGAGGCTCCGACCGAACCCGAGAGTGAATCGGATGCCCATGTCCCGCCCACACCCAAGGCCGAGAGTCCAGAGCAGCCTGTCGGTTCCAAGGATACTGGCCGGCTACGGTTCACACAGATCATGAACTCCCTCAAGGCAGTTTACCCGGCTGAAACCCTACGCGATATCAGCACATCATTCGGGTTTATTTGTCTTCTGCATCTTGCCAACGAACAGGGCCTCGTGCTCGAGAGTGATCTAAGCAAGATGGGCCCTGATGCAGCTACCCTGGAAGAGATCTTCGTAACTAGGGATACGCACGCCATCATCGAAGAGGGAGGAGGAATGTGATAACCTTGCTTTTGTTTTTAGTTGCATGTACAGTTGACACGGGTAGAAGCACTACGATATGCATGTTGGTCACGAGTGATGGACAGGACGGTGTGACTTGGTAGATCCTTGCGGCGTTGTGGTTTTGGTTTTTTTCCTGTTCGCAGTGAATGGCGCTCTTGGGTCTTTTTGTTTCTTCGGATTACTTCTTTTGTTGGATGAATTCAAACGATTTCACATACATCATTTCTGGTGCAATAGCCAAGTAGTCTTAAGTTAAGGTAGGGTCAGTTCGTCACTTGGGTGTTGAGTGCTGGCACAAACGCTTGTTAAAATTCTCCTACGACGCTGGGATGAAAATCGGTAAGGAGTTCATTCATATGTATCATTGCAATATATTCATTTATTGGACAAAACCCAAACGGAAAGAAAGTAAATACACCAACAGTGTACCAAACATCAAATAGGTATCTGTATCTCGCACCAAAACTCCACGTGCCCCAGGGTGTACATTAAACTCCATAACAAGGAGAGGGTAAACAAACGAAGGTCGAACAAGTGTTCGATTTTGAACCAGATCGATCGAAACTGACGGCCTGAAATGTGTTTTCGGGTTTTTCACTTTTTTTAAAGGTTTTTTTTTCATGTTTTTTAAGCACTTGCATTTCCCACGAGGCAAAATGGAAGGGAAACAAAACACCCCAGTTGAAAAGAACGAAATATAAACAAGCTTGCCGTCATTCAAATTTACTTGCGTACAGGGGCCGGGAACGCCGGCACCATGGGACTCTGATATGCCCCAGGAATCGGCACAGAATCGTAAGTGCGCTCGCCGGGAGCACTACCCTTGTTCATAGGCGGACTCTGGCGCTGGCTGTGAGGAGGCGGCGACTGCGAGTAATGAGAAGGAGCAAACTCCTCTTGCGCAGTCTGCGGGGTTGGCTGTTGAACCTTGATAGGAGGCGGCTGGAGCTGGAAGGATGGGGTAGGGCGGGTAGGCGAACGTGGTGAGGCATACTGAGTAGTCTGGGGTTGAGCCATACCCTTCTCAGCGGCCGAATAGGGGTCCACGGGGCCGGCAGCGTAGAAGGGAGACTTGGGAGGATAGGAAGCGAAACCTGCGAAGCCGGGGGTATTCGGGGCTGACTGCAGGCGCAGCTGGGCGAGATATAGATCTGAACGGGCATTGTCGCGGGTGTCCATAGACTTCATCAGCTTGCGCTTGCTCCAGACGCGGTAGAAGACTACCACGTAGATCAGGATCACCAGGACTTCGATGACGACTTCAATGATGGCGCAAACAAGGCCCCAGTCTTGTAGACGGCAAAGGAGAGCATAGTCGACGCTGTTGTGGTAGAGTTGCTCGCGGGTATTCTGCGCGCAGGACCATCCCCACATGTCCTTGCTGTCTCCTGTGGCTTTGGAATGCTGGTACACTGCTGCACCGACGATCCACATAATGAGGTTCACGGCGAAGAAGGCGATTGAGAAGCCGGTGTAGTAGACGGCGGTCTTTTCGGCACGTCCGTGGCCGCCCTTTCGGTAGGCCCAGAACACGATTAGACAGGCGACTAAGGAAACGCAAGCCATGCCTAGAAGGAGGTACTGGGCCCATGGGTTGGTGCCCTCTGCCCATGCAGGAAGGCTGTTACGAGTGGGCAGGTGCTTGGTTGCGTTGAAGACAGTCAATGTCACAGCGAGCAGAGACAACACAATCAGACTGCAGCCGAAGTTAACAAAACGGAGGAAGACCTTGGCGATTCGGACGCGGAGTTTGATTCTCTGGTGACAATTAGTAACTTGCATTGATTGGCATAATTTAGCAGCTTTCTTACCAAGTCTCGGGCATTCTCCACTTCGGCTTTCTTTTCTTGCTTCTCAAGCAAGTACTCCTCACGGAACGTTGGACTAAGAGGGTTCAATGACTTGGCCGTCTGGGGCACCTTCAGGTCAGGTCGGAAGGGTGACATTGGCACCTGGTCATTCGCATGCTCGTTGTTCGCTCCCACGTAACCGAATCCCACATCTCCAACATCTCCCCTCGCCTGGGTCTTGGGCGGGTCAGCAAAAGGTGATGACCCAGCTTCTGTGCGATCAATAGGAGAGTGAATTGAGGTGGCCTCGGCGAATCGAGCAGTGCGCGGACTCTTCAGCGAAGCATTGCTCGTATCAGAGCCGCTGCGTGTCTCCCGCACGGTGTGCTGTGGTGGAGGACCCATTGCACTGTGATAAGACGCACGGGTAAGATCCGTAGGGACAACGGGGTCGTAGGTTACAGGAGAGTTGTCTCGGCTATCGTCTGATACCGCCATTGAGTCGATGAACAATGCAGGCAAAGAAATCAAACAATTTGGTCAAGAGAGCCAGCTCTCGACTTGACGGCCACAGGTCTGGCTACTGGGAATAAAACGACCCGGAATCGAGTCGAATATACACCAAAAACCACAAGTGTGGTGGGACAAGGGCTGAACTATATCAGGTTTGTAATAAATCACCGACACCGTGTGCGAAGCCTGCGTACACGGGGATTAAGCAGCAGATGGTGATCAAAAACGAAGAAGAAAAATTGAAGATAATCAGAAAGTGACAGGAACCGGCCTGGGCACCTTGAATATCAATAATGTTTGAGTGCTGGCATGGTCCGAGAGGCGGGGGGAACCAAAATGCAGACTTTTGATTCTCGTCACTTGAGTCGGGCCAGAGTAAGCGCCGAGGGGGAATTTGCAGCAGGGGCCAGGGACATGATTGGAAGATTCAAAGCCTGTCAAGCCCTCTGGCTGCAAGTGCACTGTACCTCGAGGCGTTGGGGGGGGAGTGTGACTGGCCGGCGGGAGTGATCAGCCAAGCTTGTCACAGTGGAGTAACGGGCCAGTGAGATCGAGTAGCGGGCATTCTCGCTCCTCACGATGCACCTTCATCACCCCCCAGCCCGGCGCTAATCCGCCGATCGTCCAACCACACGGAATGCAGAACCGCTTTAGTGCGTGAGATGAATGAGCGGTCCGAGGGGAACAGGGAAGATGTGAACGACTGGATGAAAGTACCCGGTCAACCCAAATTTGAGGCCCAGTCATATACCTCGATTAAGCACCCTTGGCTATTGGGGGTTTGAGAAGTTGGAGAGGGGAAAAAAGTCGAGGGTCTGTGCCCCAGGCTATTTTTACTGTGCAAACCGAGTCACACCCGTGATAGTGCCTAGCTCACGCATATTCATCACCTTTCTATTCCGTACGGAGTACGGAGTACAGGATCTCTCTATTCCGTCTATTTTCAGTAACCGGTATTCCGTGTGCAAAGTGCATTGTCCTTTATACTTCTTACCTTCTCATACCATATTCTTATCTCATAGTTTAAGATTTCGATCCTAATATAGAATCAGTCAAGTTGGATATAGTTAGTACAGTCGTTTCTATATCTTTGTGTGCGTGAATATTGAGATGGGTAGCCGCCCAGACAGGAACGCCACCTACCCTGCAAATATGCATAGCATGCCATTTTAGTCAAGAGATATACCTCAGTGCTAGTATTCTTCACTCCCTTTTGCCTTCTCTTTTCTTATTATCTCCCGTATCTCTTCGGCTATCAAAAGTCTGTCAGCTTTATGGAGAAAAGGGTCCAGTGAGGTTATCGCTTTGCACTCAATCAATTAGCCATATCACCGTCATATATCTAATATCTCTCAATAGAATAGGATCTTCGATATACAGTTTGACCGCCGACGAGAAAGAGCACCAAGCTCGCTAGCAATTGCTGTTATCTCCTTCGTCGCTCTATTGTTTGCCCGCTATTATCACCAAAAGAGGGAATCGCGCCTATTATAACTGGTTGGCCAGAAAACGCCATGGTCGAGAGGATCTCACAGCAGAATTGAACGAGCCCCTCTGATATTGTGACTGGACCCTGAAATACCGCCAAGTTATTTATCACAAGAGCGTCATCAATATTCGATACGAATAGGTAGTTTCATGTTGATTGCCAATACCTGCGCAGCATTCATGGCATCTGAAGTAATTTCCGGGTTAAGTATCAGAAACACTACATCTCATCCCGTTTGCAGGGTATCCATGGATGTTCTGGTAGAACCGGCTCAAAGAATGATACCTACTATTATGGTCATATGAGAATCTGGAATTCATCAGCTGTCGTAAAGCTTTCAGTAAAGCTTTGAAGACCACCGAGTGCAAATACGTCTTGGGCAAGGATTGGCGACCTAGGAAATAAAGTCCACTCACCTAATTTTTAGTCAGCACAAATGAATGTGGAAGATACTAATGCCATAATGTTTTAGACCGGTTGAATAGGGGTGATCATAATACTGTACAGCGAATCAAGTAGGGGACTTGGATGGTGGCACCATGAACATCTATTCCGCAAGGAGACCACAATTTTCAGGATGATAATTTGCACAAGGAAACAGATGGTCCATTGTACTTGTAAAGGATACCTGATTGAGATATTGGCACAGCGAATGCTTGATGGAGAGTCTCGACGCCACCGTGGGTGGAATATCAATCATGTCGAGTAACACAAACATTCCAACTTATCTGCGAGACTTGGCTATGAAAGTTCGAATTTCATGCAGGCAATATAGAGAATGGCAAGTATCAGCCACGGGCTATTTTTGGGAGTGGAGTAAGCAACCGTAGAAGGTTGAACAACCTCGGATGGCCCCCAGGACAACTCCACAGGGTTCCTTGGTTCCTGAATGTAATGTGTTCTAGGATGTTCTGCCTTTCAATCATTGCAGGCTAGAAGAAATGACATGTTCTAGAAGTTCATAGATCTATATATCTTCGAGACTGCCTAATACCATGTATTTAGCGTAAATCAGCGTGGTACTATTATATGGGGCTCTGCGTGGAAGTCGATCCCCCGAGCCACCTGAGGCGTCTACAATAGTACAACGTTAAAAGTACACTGCCTGAAACATGGCGCAGCAAATGTATTGTGCTTTGTATTACCAAGGTACTCTTGGACAATAAGACATGCTAATACTGTACTTAAAGAATCCAAGTGGTCCGTTATAGTCAACGGGTCAGAATATTATTACATCCATGGACAAAGTCTGCGCGGATGTACGGAGTACGGAGTACTATGTAATATGGAACGCGCGTAGAAAACCCTCAATACTAGCTCCACTCGATCTACAGATCTCCAACAGACCAGGCGTTCCAGTAAATTGAAATTAGAATGTATTGTATACAATATGTATACAATATATTATGCGCGGGTCTCCGGGGTGACATCACTCCAATTGCCTCCTTTGCGGCCTAGATATCCACTCCATACCAAAGCCACGATAATACCGGTTTGGGGAGGCATGATCTCATGCTTATAAGGCTCATGAAGTTGTATAACATACTGAATAGGCTGCTGTATCTAAATGAAATGTCAGTGAAATGGAAGGCGACGTGTACTCTCTTGAATGAGAGGTCAGCCGCAGAAAGTGCCCCACGAGCCAGCCACAAAGTGCTAGCGGTCTACACAGCCTCAATCCTAAGGAGGTACTGTGTACTTGAGAACGCATAGTATTTACAGTGTAATATCGTGTACTTTATACTTCACTGCCTCAGGGTTCATTTCTCCAGAGCCTCGACTCTCCAGTCCCCACCAAACATATCATCCCCTGCCCAGTTTCTGTTCACACGTTCACGCTCTTTGTGTTTTTTTTCTTTGCCTTCGAATCTGATACGGTAAATGGTGTAAATGGTATGAGACTAGTTCATTACCCCATCCACTTTCCTCTCTTCACCACTCAGATTCTCCATCATTTTGTCTTATTTTGTTCCTGCGCCCAACCGTTCCAAATTTCAGATGACCATTGAATCTCATCCACTCATTCCCCGATCGCTATTTTAAAGGCCTAAGCCCCTGGGATCATTCAGGTGGATCTTGACAAGTTTGAAGCTGAAACCACTCGTCAGCTTGCGCCACACTCGTGAGAAACGCCCCACACGCCCTGGTCTTCGCTCTCTTTCCCCCCCAACCTCGTCTGCTTGACACTTTGATATATCCCGGTGGATGAAAGTTAGTCAAGTTCATTTTCCCCCACCAATCCTCCTTGCATTGTCCTAACATGACATCTCAAGTAGCTATCGCCTTTACTCGTCCACCCTTTGAGGCTGGCGCGAAACCTTCTTTCTCCATGGCGACGTTGATGTCGAACAACGAGCCCATCGCCGTCTCCAACTCGCTATCTGCAAACTCTATCACTAGCCCTGAACCCCTCTCTTTGTTTAAATCCTCCAAACCTGAGAGTCTAAGCTCGATTGCCAGCGCCGGCTTGCACGTCTCGCGATCGAGAGACCAGCTTCCTCCTATGACAAGCCCAACATCAGTACCGGCGGATCGGCCGGAGCATGAGAAGGACGCTGAACGAAACAGTTCACAAGTGGCCCGGGAGGCTCTGGGTGCAAGCGAAAAGTCGCCAGGTGCCCCGATTCATGAGCATTCAGTCCATGCATCCCCGGAGCATATGCAAATCGACTCACACGCGACCGAATCGCCGTCGGACCCTTACGGATCAAACGATCATCACCACAACTCACTAATGCACACCTCGACTGTGGCCAGCCCTGGTCCTATTGAGGAATCCACTTCTCAGGATGGAGATCGACGGTCGCGCGATGACTCCGAGATCGACCACGATGGCAAAGCATTCTCATATCCGATGCCTACGGGTAATATTAACGACCCGCGTCGCGGACTGAGCCTACCAAACGCAGGCTACAACCGAGGTAGCCCTCGCTCTCCATCGGCAAAGAAACACCGCTGCCCATACTGCGCAACCGAATTTACGCGGCAACATAATCTCAAGAGCCATCTGCTCACTCACAGTCAGGAAAAGCCTTTCGTTTGTCAAACTTGCCAGTCGCGTTTCCGAAGACTACACGATTTAAAGCGTCACACAAAGCTGCACACCGGCGAGCGGCCACACATCTGTCCTAAATGTGGACGTCGTTTCGCTCGAGGTGATGCGCTTGCTCGACACAATAAAGGACAGGGAGGCTGCGCGGGTCGACGCGCGAGTATGGGCAGCTTTGCGGCAGATGACGAGTATGGCGATGGTGCGCCCGGGGGCCACGACGACATGGATGGGTTGATGTACACAGCAGAGCCTGAGCGCATGGACGAAGAAGACGAGCGACGAATGACCATGCCGAGCATCCGCAAGCACGAGGCAGATACAGTTGCTCGGTCTGATTCAATCCACTCACGCCAGTCTAACACCTACCCGCCAATTGCCGCTGGTCGTCCCAGCCACCTTTTCCCACCCCCGGCGAACCATGGTGGATCAGGCGTGTCAACATCGGCTTCGCAGTCTACACACATGACTTTCCCGCCTGCGGGACTTACCTCGAGCTCTTCTATGTTCCCTTCCAACAATATTAGTGACAGCCCCAAACCGCTGTCCCCGAACGCTCTCTCATCGCAACACGATGGCGCACCGTCACACCGCGCACACTCTCCTGGTACCAGTATGGGACAGTCCTTGCCACACCCGCAATCCTCTTTTGGACGAGCGAATCAATCTTCAAATCATGCACCACCTACACTAGGCTTGCCCCTGCCACAGCCAGGCGCGCCCCAGCTGCCTCCGCCGCCGGGTATGACCTCCCCGGATGCTCGATTTGGCATGCAAGCTGCAAATAAACATACTCCTTCGCACAGCCACTCCAGTACGCACAGTTTATCTCATCTCAAGGGCTTCGATGGGCCAGATGCCAATTCCAATGACGCCAGCCAAATCGATAAGCTTTGGGCGTACGTGCGGACAATGCACGACGAGTTGACAGGCTTGCGCACTGAAGTTGCCGCCTTGCGGGCGCACGTTGCGTCGTCCAATTCAGTACCCCCGGCTTCGGTGGAAGTAAACTTGAATAATGCCGGACCACGGTAATACGTTCCTGGGTGTGGTTCTAGTGTGTATGATATGGCTCACCGTCAGCCACACAAACTGGCTGCTATGCCCTCCCCCTCCTTCTTCACTTTGTCCATATGTCTTGATTACCCCCATCTCCCCTTGAGGGTCAACCTTGATGCCCTCATGATCACCATACCGACAGTCGCCGGCGTCGGTGTTTTCTATGCCCCATTACCCATTTCCTTTTTTTCTTTTCCCCCTTTACTCCCGGAGTCATATCACCCTGGGGAACCTTTCCGTTCTAGCCTACTTTATTCATACCTGGAGTGCACTGCAAGTGTTTCCTTTTTCCCCCCTCTCTTTTTTTTTTTTTTTTGAACAGCCGAAGGAGTTTGGCGTGTCAAACAAAAATGGTCTGACGTCGCAATGGAATAGAGAACATTTCTTCTCACCGAACCGCGACCTGAACCCCCCCTGTGTCCTGTCGATTCCATGTGGAAGATGGAGTCATGTGATTGTGTTTGGATATGTGCATGGATTACGCTGGTTTGGAGTTTTTATTCGTAATCTGCTATTCCCGACTTAGTGATAATATACTCTTCAATCCTTACGAGATGCATTGTAATCGTCCTCGATTTTCTATTTTGTTGAGCTTTAGCAGCTTCTGTAGACTCGGAGTAGAGGTATTGTTTGGTCTTTGGATTGGAAAGCGTTGACATAACCTGTCTTTGTTTGGCCTGAAGTTGTTCAAGTAGTACGATATCTTTTTCCTAGCAGTTGCTACATAAGTCAAGTACGTGTTACGGCTAGACGTCCTATATAAGTGCACTCAACAATGTACTATAACGTCCACAGGAACTCTCTAGGGGCCATGGAACACCCAAAAGTACCTTGGTTAGGCTCAGTAAAATGCACTTGATCTTTCTTGTTCTACGTCTACGTGATGTTACATGAATATATATATATACATATATATTCTCCTTACATTGTCGAGGTGCCCAACAGCAAATGTATAAAAATAAAATCTATAGACATAAAATATCACACATTATACGCAGTAAATGTGTCAAGAGATGTCTTCTAACTGTCATTCTTATAGGTCAAAGAAAATGCCCGAATAGTCTAGTTTTGCGGTTTACATAGTCTGTTATTCGCTCATTTCCATAGGGGATGAAAGAAGGAATCAAGAACACCTGAAAGGGCCATCAAAAGACAAGTTCGATGACTCCTGAGGTCCCTCTCCTTAAGTTATTCTAGATGTACCCATGGATTCTTGATAGGAGTTCTGGTATGATGTAGCCAATTTATTGCTCTCCTACGTTTTCGGACAAACCCAGGGGTCAATCCCCCCTCCCTTCTACCTCTTTATCCCCACCTTTATATTCTAGAGATCAATTCTGTATCGTTGATTGGGAGTAAAGCCGAGTGAAGTAGGATAACAATTAAATATAATAGCCACGGCGGTGTATATCCCCACCGCCTCATAAGGGGCATCTTCACACCCAACAATTGAGCCGAGGCACTTCAAAGCCCTCTTGAGTAAACACACTCCGCAATTAGTACACATCTCACCAACAACCCCCGCAATATTCTATCATTTCACACATTGTAGTTTTGAGAATGTCTTCCACACTCCTACAGGCGTCAGCTGCAGTCTTTGCGTTGCTTTCCGTTGGACACACGGTATTATTCCCAACACCAGAAGCCCCTGAAGAATTATATTGATTGTTGCTTGATTGTTGCGTAGATCAAAGGCAGGCAATGGACAGCCGACCCAAGATTCAAAGCTATCGCAGGCACGAATTCGTGGACTTGTGGGACTCTAGGATGGTACCAGGTACGTTGAACTTTGGCCTTCACTTGTTCCAATATCAATCAGGCTTATTTTGCTTTATACTGACTGTCCTATTTCGTTTGTATTAACAGGGGAGTGGTTTCTTTCTATTGACTGGTACGTTCATAATATTATTCCTCCTAGTAAAAATCTAATGATGTTTATCAACAGGTCTTCTTCACTGGCAATGGTCGCGAGATCCCAGTCTTCTCCAAGAGCCACTGAATAAAGCCATGGCTGGGATTGTGAATATCCTGCTCTGGAGTAGCACTGCCTGGTATGCTAAGTATGGTATCAATGATACTGCCATTGTCATTGCTATATCTGCTGCGTTGCAGGCTTTTGGTGTTGGTAAGGCTTGCCTGTGAAATCATCACGAAGAATACGTGTTTGGAAGATACATGTATGGTATGACCCGATGAGGTCAGGTGACTTACAAAGAAATGGTATCTCCTGGTTTTGTACTTGTCTGCTTTTGATTTTTTTAAGGGTTCTGCATGTTGATTGTAATATTGGGACCTGTGATTTACTAGATAGATATGGTTGGTTTTGCCGTTCCCAGCCTAGCGCCCCAATACGCCGTCACATAAACTCTCCCTCCATCCCTCCGACATAAAAGACAAGGCCTGCCAGGGAATTCGGACGTAGCTACTTCAGGAGTAGCTGAACCGGTGTTAGCCAATTTATGAAGCTCTGGGACACTTGCTTCCGACATATTTAGTATAGGTATCGCATATGCCGGGGCATCATATGCAGGCGCTGAATAGCCAGGTCTATATCTAGGTTCATAGTCAGGTGCACCATAAACCGGCTCAGCAAAACTGGACCCACTACCAGACTCTAAAGTTATAACCCCGGGAGTACCAATATCACCTAAAGCGGGGGCGACCTCCAACCTAGAAGAAGCTCCAAACCCATGGGGCACTCAACCCTGGAGCGCTCGGTTTAGGGGCCATAGCATGGGCGTTGAGCGCACCAACCTCTGGGAGCGGGCTATATGACAAGGCCGTATAGTGGCCGTATAGTGAGAAGCGGGTCTAACCCATTACAATTCTAACCGTATTCGCTTATGGAGTTCGAAATTAGAACAGGGTGATTGATGCAGGTCAAATAACGGATTCAAAATCGCGCATTTTTAGAAGAGGTGGTATGATAAGAGCGAGCTGCCGGCTGTGAAAATGCCTAGGTAAATTAATTATATAGTGTAAATCGCTTTTATCCAGTCTAGATACATCCTACCTGTAATAGACTTCCTCAGAGAAGCTGAAAGGCCCTCGGAGCCGAGTCAATTACAGAGCTCCAAAGTCCGGTTATTTAACCGTCTAATTCATATTTCTATTGTGGCTGATGGTCATTCAGATCTTCTGATTTGGCTACTCAAAAGCTTAGCCTTTGCGCTAACGAGTGTACAAATAGGATAGCTAGGAGGTATGTGACCCGAGGCGGCCTCATCTAGGCTCTCTGGCCTATGCTTAAACTTTAGGTCGTATAAAGCCATCTTATTCGTACAATTTCTTTTGCCTTTTTTCTTGGCAGATCGGATTCCAATTGCTCATATACTTGTGGCGAGCTAGGCGCAGCCATCGACATCATCCAAGGTAGGTTGAAATCTGGGGATTAACCTGAACCAACGAACCACCGCCATTTTGAGCATTTTCCGCCCTAAACAGAAAGAGGCAAACGGCAACATCTATGCTATAGCTACAGAATAATTTGGTTCCACTGATCAGCGACTGTGCAGATAGTACAGTACTGATTCGGTCGAGACTCGGAGCCATCAAAAAGCCACATCTAGCCGTATCCCGTCGTCCCTACTTCGATAGGCGCTACATCTCTCTCGAACGGGTATTTCAATAAAATAGGCTTAGATGTCTAGCTATCGTCCCCACGACTTGAGTTCAAGATGTATTTTTATCAACTTAGGGGGCATAGAAAATTGTGGGCTAATGACAGGTGTGTGACGTTACATGATCATCGTTAAGCGGGAAATTATTGGCGGTCCATTCATCCAATAAGGCACCGTTACCACAGTAATCTAAGGTTAGTGCCAGAACCCGGGATACTGGTTCGATTCCAGGACTAGGCCGATCGATGGTTTCCGAGTAGTTCGTATAAAAATTAAGGTATCTAGAGGTGGGGCTTATGCCGGGTCTGTGATTATAGTCGTGTGGTTCATGCGGTAATTATAGCCCGGTCGAATGTGGCGAGTTGTAATGATGCGCTCGCAAAAGCCGAGGAATGATGACCTCCTGCTATGTAGCGTGAATAATTAGGGCAGTCTGGGTATTGCAGTCGTGCCCCACGAGTTCTATAGTCCCCCGCTGGCAGCATGAGTCTAAGTCATAGGAGTGACACTTTCGCAATTAGGCCTATTCTCTTAAGATAACCGGTCAAGGAACATAGAGGAAAATAGAGTGACAAGAGATGCGGACACGACCAAATGTTGGCCAGACTAGACTTTGGTGGCAGACAGTCTCGACATGATCGGTGCCGTCTTTCAAAGTGTGCCACCGAAACTTAGATCGGATGTCAAACAATAAAGTTACACTTCGAAAAGTCGAATCATCGTGCCCGTGATGCCGGTAATGTATGAGCAACCGGCTCTTCTGGCCACTCTCCTATCACGCGCGAGAGTGGTGTGATAACTCAATGTGTTTTGGAAGGAAAAGGTGCTCTGGACTGGGTTTGAAAGTGGTATCAGAAGTTATAAATAATCGTTCTGCGTCCACCCTAAAAGCCAACTTACACAGAGGATTTCTTCGTTGCCAAGATATACAAACTGTTCTTGAACATTTGTGAGTACTACATACACCAGTACTACATAAACCTCGAGGGGTATTATGAAAATGAAAACACCATCGATACTCCGTCTCGGATGGGTGTTAGTAGTGGCACTTGTCGTAGTCGCGGGGGTATCTGCCTTTCCGGCGCAAGCCTCGGCTGCGGGCATAACGCTCAGCAAGAGGCAAAGCCAGGGGCGAGGCCAGGCGGGCACAACTCTGAGCGAGGAAGTGACAGCCAACGGGCACCGGACCCGGACATTCACATGGACAATCAACAAGGTGGCTAACCCAACCACACTCGATTTGGTCCAGGGTGGCAGTGACACCGCGACCTACACAGTGACGCTGGACAAGGACGACGGTACTGTCCACACCTGGATCAACGGGGAGGTCTGCATTACCAACGGTGGTAGTGTTCCAACTGAGAATCTCATGTCGACCCTTAAGGTGACGCAGCCGCCGTCCCAGGTGGTCATATTGAGTACGTCGCTTGACACGACGACTAAACCGGTCCTAGCTGTCGGGGAGAGCTACTGCTACCCCTATAGCATCGACGTCCCGTCAGCAAACAGCAATACCTACAAGGTGAACGCCGATACGACGATTATAAATCACTCGGGACACTTAGGAGTGCCGTTTGGGCCGAACGCTGCCGCTACCACGACGATTCCGACGACAGAGACGCTTGTCCATAACACCGTAACGGTCTCCGATACTATTGGGGGCCCGCTAGGGGAGTTCTCTGATGACCACACGGTGACCTACACCCATCAATTCGACTGTGGTAATACAGGAGACAATCCCAACACCGCCTCCATCACCTACGACGACGGCACGGCCGGGCCGTCTGCATCGGCGACGGTGACGGTTAAGTGCACTGCCTCCGGCGGTTGCACGCGGACGATCGGCTACTGGAAGAATCACCCCGACGCCGTCACCCCGCTGCTACCGATCTGGCTCGGCACAGAAGGCGGGGCGAAGAGCGTCAAGGTAACCACGTCAAGTCAAGCTGTCACCATCGAGGGTATTCCCACCGCTAGCAACGGAATCGATAAGCTTTATGCGCAGTTGCTCGCAACCAAGCTCAGCATCAAAAATGGTGCGGACGGCTCCGCTGTGACAAGTACCATCCAGGCTGCGGACAATTTCCTCGCCAATACGAATAGCGCTAACTGGGCCAGCCTCTCCAATGCTGTCAAAAGCCAAGTGAATGGCTGGGCCACCACGCTGGACAATTATAACAATGGTATCACAGGTCCAGGCCATTGCGCCTGAACCTGAACTGCCCATGAAGCTTTTGCGGCAGTAAATATGCGGTATTAGTTTAAACTGTGCATATCATCTTTTGTAAAATGATTGAGAATGATTGACATATTGTTACACTGTTTGGATGCGAGGGATTCTGTTATGTGACTTTTGCTTCTGTCAAGAAAAAGTGGGTTCTTTCTAGTTAGTACAACGACTGCATATTACTGTCGTTCGTTTTTATGTACTATTCGGGAAGCCCTATCCATTCTTCAGCTCGTTTATGATTATTCAATCAATATTTTGCACAATCCAATCGTGCCAAGTTGCTTTCAATGGGTCGATTATCCTAGGTTGATCCGCATCGTCACCAATAAAGCTATAGGTCATGGCGAATATGTCCAGAAGAAGGGTAGGAGGAGGGGTAATCACGAAACAAATCTTACAGTCAAGTTTTGCCTACCAAGCTGACCAGAGATGGACACTTGAGGGCGACGTCAAACCCTTCTGCATCGAAGCAACTGAGGGATGGAGGAGAGAAGTTGACAGATTGGTAACGGTCGCTCGTTTGCTCAGTTTGCATGCAGCCTTCTAGTTAATTACTAATAAGAATTAAAGAAAATTATAGTATTATAGTCGTATTTAATGGTTTAATTTATTACTAAGATCGAAGTGTTAAAGATACTCTACAAGTCGGGGTACGTGCCTGTTGTTCGCCAGTGGAAACAGGGGGAACAATCGTTGAAGTCGAGCGTCAATAGCAGGACAAGAGGATAATGACTAACAGCGCTGGTTGGGTGCAGAATAGGGGGCAGTACAATAAAGCAAGCAGTCAAGCAACGTCTCGCCGTCCAAAGTTACGGGTGGAAAGGCGGCCGTTTCTAGCACCAGAGGTTGTCATTTTCGGCGTCGATTTCACAGGTCCCTATATTCTAGTGGTAATCCATAGCCGCCGACATTATCCGAGATGACATAGTAGAGTGAAGGTCAATAAAGACACTCAACAGACCAACAATAAGTTAGCCCTCCCCCATTTGAGAATCCTGCTCCAACCTCCTCTCTTCCCTCCGCTCGAGAGTCCACCGAATAAACAATCCCACATCTGAAACAACAGCCCGCGGCACTCCACCTAGCGTCCAGCTCCGCTGAACCCACTTAGGAATCTTCCCACCGGCTTCAGAAGTAGTCAACATAGTCCATCGAAGATAACGCTCGGGATTCGTAGCAGGGGCATTCACATCCGTCGAAACCGACGGACCCGGAGCTGGCGGGGTAGGAGGCCGCACACGCTGAACCCGCTCGAGACTGGCATAGTAAGCGAAGACTGCGCGTTGCGGGACGGCGTCCATGATCTGCGCATAAAGTCCCTCGTACTGGGATCCCGGGATGATGGGTTTGGTCAAATAGAAAGGGATCTGTACAGTGATAAAGCCGTGATTTGGGGTGGACTGGGGTGCTGGGCATGAGCTCGCGAAGGTTGCCGACATAGTCCAGGATATGAAGGCCCGGGGCCGGATTAGTGCCTGCGGATGGAAGGTGTGGACAATAAGATTGACTGGGCTTGAGTTTCAGTGGGCTGTCCCTTTGTGTGTCTGAGCTTTGTTCGGGGGATTTTTATACATACGTTCGACCTCGAAATGCTTGTAGTTCGTGTTTCCAACGGTAATTGGTTGGTTGAGATCCCATTGTCTCGGCTCGTTCCACTTCAGCAGTTGCTTTACGCTCGTCACACTGGGTGTGTACTCCATTTCGTGCTCAGCATGGTTGTATCGTAGCCCGTCGTGGAATTCCCATAGGGAGACTGTCCCAGGCAGACGATCGGAGTCTAGGTGGTCGCTTTGGCGACATACCCAGAATTCCTTGTTAGGGGTTGGGCCCTCTTGAGGGGATTGAAGTGTTCGCCATCCCCGTGAAAGTTTCACCTTTGCCGTTGAAGGTGCAGAAGAGCGCAGCTTGCAGTCTGGTTTCAATGTTGACGGGAACTGGTTTAGAAGAGGCTGAGCTTCAAGCAGGGTGGCCTGGATGAATTCCCGCAGATCTTGGGTGTTGGCATCCCCCTGAAGATCTGGGTGCCGGGGGAGGCTGGTGAACAGATGTGGCTCTAGTTGGATTAGGGGCATGGTGGATGGATGCAAGAAGGCTTGGCGAAGAAAGTAGATGTGTAGATGGAGAGAGGTGGGCTTAAAAAGAAAAGGCCAGAAATTAGAAAACAAAACAAATCTCAAGGATGAGATTATTGTTTATCTTATTTGTTTGCACAAACTTAGATTATGTGAGAATTTGAAGGGTTGCTTCCTTAGATGATTTTCATGAACACAACTATCTTCTCGGTAGACATAATCAATATCTACCAAATAAGTGTACGATCGATCTTATTGATCAATTTACCACCCGGGTAACAATTTAGGTAAGGGATATATATAGAGGCTATAGACAGCGGATCCCAGGTCCAACGCTGCCAGTCTCAAACATCTCCACAAGTCCCGCGCCTAATGCTTCTTCAAGCACCCATCGAAAGTGCATCCCATATAGCTCTTTCCATTTCCTAGTTTTACCCGGCAGGACCCCTGCAAACTCACCACGGGCTCGCTTGGCTACATGGAAACTCTTCTCAGTCTCAACAGCTCCATCCCATCGATCTTTCAACAGACCCAGAGGGGCTTCGCCAGACGCGGACCGCCGGAGAAGAGCGAGCAGATGTGCACGACCTGATCCTAACAAGCGGAGATATGTGCCCGTGTTAGGAAGGGACAAGAACAGAGTTGCTGCACGAGCCTGGGCAGCTGACTGCACGGGGGGCTTGGAATGCGAGATAGACTCGCTCCGACTTGCTGACGAAGTCGCCACTTGAGGTAAACTAGGAAGTGATGCAATACTTAATGTGCCCTGTGTATAAGAAGACGAGGAGACAATAAACCCAGCCCGGAGCAAGGCCCTGTACTCATCTGTCGTGAAGACCCCCTGCGATATCGCCGAGGAAGTCCCAATACGTTTCAGAATATCAAGGAATTTCTCTGAGAAACCGTTCAGCTCATGACGCTCGAAGTATCCTGACTCAAAAACTCACCCTTGACCGGTTGTTCCAATGCAGGACTTTCCTGCACCAGCTTGTCCCAATCCTCTGCTAGCACCAAACAATCGCCCAGCCCTGCGGCATCATTGCCTCGACCGGGTATAATGAGTCGCCGAATCCGACCCGTTTGAATATTTTCGACGATTTCCCTTTCCACCTGTGTCGGTGCCTCTAAAAGGGTATGGACATGGGCCACAGAGGCGAGCGGAGGCAAAGATCGGCGTAGATTGAGGACTTCCGCAATGCGCGTGCTGTTCATCCCCGCCCGTGCCGGGAGTTCTTCAAACATACCATCACGGATATATTGAATGGCCTGTAGTACATTCTGCACCGGTGCAGTCTTCGATATAAAATGAGATCCGCCTATATCTGGAAGCGGATCATCGGAACCAAGATCTGCAGGCGGTTTTAGGCCGCCAGATGTAGGTTTGCGGCGCGCATGACCGGCAAAAGGCGACGCGCGGGGTTTGGGAGCAGAGGTTTTGCGTTTTTTGATACCTGATACCGGAGCGGAGGTGAGACGCAAGGTCATTGCAAGGTCATGGCATGAGTGAACTTTCAGCAACGTACGGATTCGGGGAGAATATTACATGTCAGGTGACACATAGATATTCCGCCAATCACAGTCGATCTACCATAGTTCTGTAAATAAAAATACGCCAAAATACCTAAAATACCGTATGAGGAACATCCCGACCCTCAAGTGGGGTAAAGCCGGTACGAGGGCAGTAAGCTCATGTCAGGCGATGGATAAGTTAGTTTCCTTGGTTCCGCAATATCTTTTTGGTTTGCAAGGACATTCCAAGTTATATTCATATCTCCTCTGAATGCAGCAGCCCGATCTGTCTGTTTATTCTTATTTGTCCTGGAAATCCACAGGCAAACTTGCTTCTCCACCACTTGGCACCTTCACATGACGTAGTCATGAGAAACACATCGTGTAACTAACCTTTTTTTTCCAGCTTGCTCCCAATTGTTAAGACTCCAGCCGCTGGTTTGCTCGTCGCATATATCTTCCTACCACTATCGTCAAAATCTGCAGGTTCTCTCTCTCACATTGCGTTTTAATATTCTGCCTATCCGCTTAGGTTGGGCTCAATCACTATGACGGTCTTCATAGCATCTTTGTATGTGATTATCGATTACTGGAACCTCGACTACATATGGCTAACCGATGACTTTCTGATGTAGATTCTTGCCCTACACTGTTGATTTCCATATCAACAACTCGCGCGCTCGCTCTCCCCCTCTTAGCCCTCCCTCCGCAAACCCGACCATCGAAGGGATCACACCCATCTCCGATTCTGCGGCCAGCCTGTTTGAGAAGAAAACTACAGAGAAAACACCGGGTCTGACACCAGGGGCTACAACGGATCATGAGCGCATCTTTGCTGCCCAAGTAGCCAAGACAGAGCAAGAGAAAAACGGGTTCCCATTCCCTTTGGCTGCCGAGCAGGATAACCGGCTCCTCACGGAGAGTGAGGGTCATTCCCCGGTATGGGGTGCCACAACCTCGCTCAATCAGCCAAAGCCAGTGACAGGCTTCTCGCCTTCTCCATCCATCCTCAAGCACCAAGATCTTCGCCCCGCCAAGGAAGCTGTCCCGCATCGGCCTCCTGCAGCCGAGACCATTGCTTCCCATGCGAGACTAAGAAAAGCCAGCACAGCGAGCCGAAAACTGTCGTTTTCAAAAGCCGAATGGACCATTGAGATTGCAGAGCAGGGCAATGGCGGCCTGCGCAATGCAGTGCGATCTGCAACAGACGCGGGGGGGCTTGGACAACATGATGTGGGTGGGCACTCTGGGTATGCCCACCGACGCCTTGGCAAAACACACCCGGCGGGACATCGCGGAGAAATTGGAAGATGAGTATGGGTCTTTGACGGTGTTTGTAAATGACGATGACTTCGATGGGCACTACACGCATTTTTGCAAGACCATTCTTTGGCCCGTATTCCATTACCAGATCCCAGATAATCCGAAGAGCAAAGCCTACGAGGACCACTCATGGATCTACTACGTCAAACTGAACCAGGCTTTTGCAGAGCGCATTGCTAAGCATTGGAAACGGGGTGATTCGATCTGGGTCCAGGATTATCATCTGTTACTGGTTCCAGCTATGCTTCGAAAGTTGGTGCCAGATGCACAAATTGGGTTTTTCCTGCATATTGCTTTCCCTTCGTCAGAGGTCTTCAAGTGCTTGGCGCCACGCAAGGAGCTCCTCCAGGGCATTCTTGGTGCCAACCTTATTGGTTTCCAAACAGATGAATACTGCCGGCACTTCCTTCAGACATGCAGTCGGATTTTGTGTGTGGAAGCAACGCCCGAAGGAATCCAGTTGGAAGACGGTTTTGTCAATGTTGGCACCTTCCCTATCGGTATCGACCCGACTTCTTGGGATAAGCGTCGCCAGGCAACTGATGTGGAGCGATGGGTCGGTACAATCTCGCAGCGCTACCAAGGAAAGCGTCTCATCGTCTCTCGCGACAAAATCGATTCCGTTCGCGGTATTCGCCAAAAACTCCTTAGCTATGAGCTTTTCCTCAACACATACCCAGAATGGGCCGATAAAGTTGTGCTGATTCAAGTCGCAACCAGCACCACAGAACAACCAGAGCTAGAAGCGACTATCTCTGATATTGCCATGCGAATCAACTCCACACACTCGACCCTCGCTCATCAGCCTTTGGTATTCCTCAAACAAGATTTAGCCTTCCCACAGTATCTTGCTCTCATCACTGTGGCAGATGCCCTGATGATCACCAGCCTACGTGAGGGAATGAATCTGACTAGTCATGAGTTTGTCTACTGCCAGGATGGTCGATGCGGCGACAAAGCCTACGGGTCATTAATTCTTAGCGAGTTCACTGGCAGCGCATCTGTTTTTGGAAACCATGCTCTTTTGGTCAACCCTTGGGACTACCGCCAGTGTTGCGAAGCAATTCACACTGCACTGACTCGCGACGAAAAGGAACGGAAGAAGGTTTGGGAGGAACTCCTCCGGGCAGTCTTGAAGAACTCGACCGCCAACTGGGTGAAATCATTCAGTGAAACGCTCAGCCGTGTCTGGAACGAGCAATCTTCGCGAGAAATCATGGCCGTGCCCCGACTGTCCGTATCCCGACTCACCGAGCGATATCGCCAATCCAAGCAGCGGCTCATGATCGTTGATTACGAAGACACGCTAGCCTCTTGGGGATCACCGCGCAGCATCATTCTGACCACGCCGCAGCGCGCCATCACAACCCTAAACGAATTAACCGAAGACCCCGCCAACGTTGTCTACGTCATGAGCGCACGCATGCCAGAGGAAATGGAACGGCTATTCCGACAAGTCAACAATCTGGGCCTGATTGCCGAGAACGGGTGTTTCGTGCGCGAGCCAAACGGCGAGACCTGGACCCATCTAGCAGACAAGCTGCATGTAAAAGCATGGAAGGCATCCGTGTCTAATATCCTGGAATATTTCCACGCTCGAGTCGAAGGTAGCTGGATCGAGGAGCGGCATTGCTCACTCGTCTTCCACCACGGATCCACCGAAGACCGTCAAGCTGCCGCTCGATCTGCTGCTGAATGCGCGGGCAATATCAACGATGCGTGTGCTAACTTAGACGTGCATGCAATTCCCGTTGAGGGTGCTTTGATTGTGGAAACCACTCACACCAACAAGGCATCTGCGGCTGAACTAGTCTGGAAATGGTTCATGGCAAATGCCGACAAAAACGAAGATGTCATCAGACCTGATTTCTTGCTGGTTATTGGCGATAACCGTGAAGACGAGCCGGTCTTCCGGTGGGCTAATAAGCTACACAGAGCAAAAGCCGTCGACTATGCCATGACAGTCACATTGGGCTCGCGTAGCACGGAGGCCAAGGCTACCCTGACACAGGGAGTTACTGGTAAGTTTGGGATGATATTCTATGTTTGTTTGTTTTTTTTCAGTTGGCTAATTTCCTACAGGCGTTCTTTCTTGTCTGCAACAGTTGGCGGCACAACAGTGCCAAACTAAATTGCCATTGCGAGAGTGATTTAGTGAGCAATTTGATTCCACAGATTTTTCCCGGATATGAACATGCGAAGACGAATACACGAAGATAGCAAAAAGGACCGGAGTTTTTCATTTTCTTTAGCAACTATGATTGGGTGCTGGCATACATCTGTTGCGGCGCATTTTTGATCAAGTTGACATGATACATACATGGAGGCTCTACATTAAGACATATTTGCATAGGCATCTTCTAATAATTTCGGGTTAAAGTTAAAGAAAAGAAGAAGAAGAAAATACGACTAGAACTACAGGAAAGTTTCCTGGTGAATCCGTGAATCCTTGTAAATTACTAAATCCTAGTCATTTCTGTAGCCCTTCTTAAATGCCGGTTTCATTCAGCTCATACAACCCCACTGAAATTTCAGACATGTCGGATCGCAGACTTTGTGTTGCTTAGTACAATGCGCATAAGCCTTAAGAGTGGTAGAGTAGGTGGTATCTGGCATCCCTAGCAGGACGTCGAATGGACAATAAAATCCATCTCTGGGTCCCCTCCAGTTGCGGTTCGAGCAGAGGCAACACATATTTGCAGGAACCACGTGAATTTCCGGGTATATCTGCTAAGGGGCCATGCTGCTACAAGAGAAGATATGGGAAAACATGATTGACCTTCAGCGTTGTATTCTCTCGGGAGTTTAATGACGAACACTATGAATGTCAGTCAAACGAAGTATGATGATTTTAGCACAGCTGCCTAGGTGGGTTGAATAGGGTAAGCTGATGGCAGAGAATGTGTGGTTGCGACCTTCTCAAGGCTCATTGAATCATGAAGCAATTGCCACCAAACCCCGTCAACGTTACCGGAAGGCCCAGTTATGAGCTATGAAGTGAGAGAGGTGCATTTAAAAGCATTTTCCCTTGCTCCCGATGTATTGATGGAAGCTGCCATTCCCGTCCAATGACTACGGCTCCAGTAAAGAATAGGTCAAGCGCACACCGAGAATCCTCCGACTCATTGATGGCTCCATTTTTCAATGGTCGGCAACAAGGCAGAATGTGGCCGCGCTGCCTGCAGCAAGTTTCACCGTGGATCGGGTGGTGTTCTAGTCGATTACCAGGAGTATATCGAGGTAGACTTTAGGTAGCTGCAGACAGTCAAAGGACATGCCTGCGACTTGCCATAGAAAAAAGCTATGTATATGTAGCCAGGAATGTAGGAGAGTCGATAGAGGCGATTTTCCTTCACTTTTTGGATGTGGAGGCCGTATGATAGGTGTCAGAGGGAAGCTGGGAATTCAATGTGGGGGCCTGTTCTAAATTGCCTTTCCTACTTTTCGCTTTCGTGACTCAGGCCAGTCCACAGGTAGTATGTGGTTGTCCCAAGTTCTGTTGTCCCCTGTATTGTCAAAACCTTAGACTAATTCCATCGGGTACAAGGGCCGTCAGCGACGGCCTGGATGTACTGTGCGGCTCTTCCAAGCCTAAGGATTTGATTCTCGGTCGCAGTCGAGCGTAGATTGGTGCTCACTGCAATGTTGATTATGGCACTGGCTGCCATAGGTTCTAATGCCAGAATCGCCAGGATCAGATGACGTATCTTTTGTAGTACCCGAACTACGCAGGCGACTTCTAGCTCTGTCGGCCAGTAGTTCTGTACCAGGAACAGGTGGTCTCGTTGATGTCGACCTGTCGGAAAGAAAACGGAGATCTAAAGAATTTCCTAGGGCAGATCCGATGCAGTTGTGGTCACTGCCCAATGGAGTGAGATGCCAGGTGGCTAGGATGCATCGCTGCCTGAGTGCTGTGGGTTCTCAGCTAGAGAACGTCTGGCTGAGAACCCATTGAGCGGATATAAATATAAGTGGACAAGAAGAAAAGGAGATGGGTGAAGTTGGAAGTGGGATTTTGGCCGAAGGTTCTGTGTTGCATTGATATCCTTTAGGAAGGAGCCGTTCTGCCTGAATAGGTAGGTACCCACATACGGGCTTTTCCTTTCTTGGCGTTTGTGAGAATTATAAGTTAAGGATGTGCGACTCACTCAGACCAAGGCGTAAAAACGTACATTGTATTTTCTATGGTTTATCATTAACCCGCACCGCTGCGCCTACACAGCGGCCAGGATACCAGACAGCAAAGAGAAGAGCCACCAGCGCAATAGGCGCGAATTCAAGGCATGCGAAATAGACCTCGTTGGTTTGCAGCTCTCCCATAAGGCCTTGCCCAGTTTCCGCAAGACGGAAAATAGTTCTCAAATAAACCATGAGGGTCGAAATGGAAAAAGCCAAGCAGAAGAGCCCAAGCCCATTTGCTCTGATAGCATGTCGAGCTCGGAACTGGAAGCTCGCCGCCACGATGACGAAAATAGTCATAACGAAGACCTGGTACGCAAGGCCACCCAAGAGGATATTGTTCGCTGTCGTGGGATCTTCCCGGCGCGACTCTGTAATGCCAATGAGACACGCACCGACGACTTGGACGATTGTTGAGATGACATCCGAAGTAATGAAGAAAGCTAGGATGATCTTCGGGGGTAGGAATGAATACCTGGTCCCTACTCGTGGGATCAATGCTGATAGAATGGTGTAGATACCAGCGGCAAGCAATACGGGCGCCACGACGATGAAGAAGTAGTTGAGGATGAAGTAGATGAGGTGATAAGGATCCTTTTTAGCGGAGAGGGATCGTGCAATGTACCCTATCACTTCGAAAATCAGACCAGCGGAAAAGGTCATCCACCACCAGCTACGGGATTTGATAGTTTGTGCCGTGTGGTAGACGAAGTGAAGGAAAAACCACGCGGCTGCGAAGGCAGCTAGAGCGATGGAAGGCGTATATCCATAAATGATCACGGGGGTATCCTTTTCGCCGCCTGGGTTTGGAAAATTGGGGTCAACATAACCATACGATCGTTCTGTTCTTTTTCGTTAGTGCTCTGAAATGATAGCCTGAAAAGCTGCGTTCAAGTGTCATACCTGTGATATGGTTCTCCATCTGTTCTGCCCTCAGATTCGTTGCAGAACGGGGTCAAATGTTTTATATGTAGCATTTATGAACACGCTAATAGAATTTATCTCGTTCTCGTATTCTGGATATTAAATGGAAATGTGATTAGCCCAGACTCCTCTACGCGAGCTGCCAAGCTCCACCAAGGAACGTCGCGTAGCGGAATCCATCCATGAATATCTTCTGATCGTTTCCCGATCGGACCTATCGCAGGGGCTTATCTAAATCATAGACACCTCCTTCGATCTCGTCCTATTCACACAGCCCTCTTACATCACAAATTTAGATACATTTGCTATATTCCAACCTTCTCGCTTCAATGTCCTTCAAACCTTCAAAAGAAAGATTTCCCGTGCCCAGTCCTGCGGGAGGTTAATCTGCTGACTCAGCTTCTCGGCTGTCTGGGGAAAAAGCCGAGGTTCGCCGATGCGATAACCTTGGTATGTGGGGAAAGGATGTTCTACTTTGTATATCAGCTATATAAATGATCTTACTTAGACCTTGAGACCATTTTCATCTAAACCCTATACATATCAAACATCACAAGTCATGTCCACCGTCAACCCATCATTCCAGGAGGCCATCAAGGTCACTCCCCAAGGCCCCAACAAATACAGCGCCTTCCTCCGACCAGAATGGTGCATTGGAACCGGTATAACCAGACCCCCATGTAAAAGCTCACCTCCCATGAACCAAAAACTAACACCCCCGTCAGTCCCACACGGAGGCTATACAACAGCCGTAATCTACCAACTAACCCTAACGCACTTCGCGCATGCCCATCCAAAGCAATACAAAAGCGCCGCGTCCCCAATCTCAATCCAGCTATCTTTCCTACGACGCACAGCTTCAGGACCCGCAACCTTCGAAGTTGAAGACGTCAAGATCGGCGCGCGCACAAGCACAATCCACATCAGGCTACTACAGCCCTCTGAAAAGAAACCCGGCCAGATGGACATCATGGTTGCTGGCTATGTGACCGTCAGCCCGCCAGATGCCGAGGTGGGCATTAGCGCGAACACAGGGTGGAAGCCTTACCCTGCTCCGGTGTCGGGTTCGCGCGCGGACGGGTCCGTTGATCTGGCAGCGCTGGGCCGGACGGGGACTGACGGGGCTTGGAGGAAGCTTGAGGCGCCTTTCGTGTCGTTCCGTAAGGCGGCGGCACAGATTGAGCTGTTTGGTCCTGGTGTTGGGGAGACGCAGCAGAAACGATCTGGGAATATGGGGATCGATCAGTGGGCTAGGTTCCGGCCTGGGGGTGATGTGAATGGTCGCTGGACGGAGGCCGCGGTGGCGTACCTTATTGACATGTTTCCCATGGCGTTGGATGGGTTTGACACTGTGTCTGCTACTGCTGCGGCGAAGGAGAGTGGGAATTCGCTTGCTGGGGAGAAGGCCAAGTTTTGGTATCCCACTGTTACGCTCAATGTCGATATGAAGAAGCATCTTCCTGCTGAGGGGGTGGAGTGGCTTTATAGTCGGATTGAGACTAAGGTTGTTAGGGACGGGCGGACGGATTTGGAGGTTACGGTTCTTGATGAGAATGGGGAGGTTATTGCGTTGAGTACGCAGGTTGGGTTGGTTGTTAGTGCTAGTCGGAATGTTGGGACTAGGAAGATGGAGAAGTTGTAGATTGTTGTCTCATAGATGTATATACAATTTAAAGGATAGATTTTGTATGTTCAATCCAGGCTTAGTTTCTGTTCTATATATGATCTAGCTGGTTAATGCTATGTGTAGAATCGGGGTGTTGCGTATATACGGGATCAAAATCCCCAGAATGTACAGCGGGGAGGTCGATCCCCAAGTCTAAGCTTCAAGTTTTGAGCCTGAAAAGAAAAGAGAAGGGTGACGCTCACAACTTCGAGTCAGATGTCTCAATCCAAAATGCCATGGCATCAGCCTTGACAACCTTCCTCTTAGCCCACTCCAAATGTCCCCCAGCGCTCTCCTCATCCTCCTGCAGCGCCTGCGCCCGCACCCAGAATTTCCTCCCGACCCCCCCAATAACTCGCGCCTTGACAACCAGCAAAGCAGGCGTAACCACCCGCTTTTTATACCTGACGTCTAGTTGTGCAGTGAAGATCTTCCCGCGCGGGTTATCCTCGGCCGTAGTGGGTGCCGTGGGCGCATTGGTATGCGCTGCGACAGCGAGGGACATGGCCTCGTCAATTAGCGTCGCGACAAGGCCGCCATGCACAGTGGATGGGTGGCCGGACAGACCAGGGCTGCTAAGATCGAAGATCATAATGATATCCGCAGGATTCAGGCCCGGGGTGGGCTTTGCAGCGGATGCGGCATCTTGTTTTGTTGCGGGTAGCCAGGTGGGGACTTCAGCAGGTGCGGGTGTGATATTGCGACGTTGCAAAGTCAGACAGTGAGGGATTGTGGAGGGTGTGTTGAGGGTTTGCGCGAAGTAACCATCTTCACCGGTTGTGGGCTTTAGCCGCCGGGAGTCGGTCTCGATTGGTGTGTAGTCGGCCGAGGAGATCAAGTTGTTTGCCCATGAGTTGGTGCGGAGATGCGCGATGGCGGGGGCTGGGTCGGCCATTTCTTTTTTATTTTTTTTTTTTTTTGCGTTGTTGTTTTGTCTTGGTTATATTGGGGTCAATTGTCATAAGCGGGGTGTAAACAAAGGACGTAGCAGGGTGTTTCAGCGGTTTCAGTAGTGCTTCAGTACATATATTAGCCAACCTTGGAAGAGCGTCAACGGTCAATCAATTAACCTCGGCTCCGGCTAAAACGGATCAGGGCATGATGAACAGTCACGTGGATATATTGGGTCAATTCATTCAGGGCGGTCCAATGAGGTGCGAGACTTGGAAAATTGATTTGCGGTGGAGCGAACATCAGAAGCTTTGAAGTAGATATTCCCCTGCCTTGAATTGAAGAACCAATCATGCAGCTATTACGCACAGACAATGCATTGTCTCACCCCCGGCATGTAGCCGGCAGTTAATCGTAAGGGATATCATGGGGGAACCTGGGAACCTGGTAATCTCGGAATCTGGGAATCTGAGAATCTGGGAATTCGGGCAAGAATGCGAAAGTAAACAGAGGAACCATAACCTTATCAAAGGGTCCTGTATCAGTGTAGCGCACTATAGCACATATAGTGCATTCAACAATCTCCGTGCAGAGACTTCTGATTCGTACGGATTGTAGCGGCAGGGGAAACTTGGCCTGACTGGGTTTAGTTACACAGCCAAGGACCCTCCAATTTGGAGTGGGTTACCTTTTGCCGACCCTTTTAGGTCAGGCGTATAGCGAAAAATGATTCAAAACAAGTAAAACAGGGCCTGTGCAACTGAACTAATATGAAATAATTACAGTATTATGTAGCTAGTGATATATCTCTCTCCACCTGTGTACACCTGGTATGCCAATTAGGGGGTTACCCTGCAGGAAAGTTCCTTCCAGTTTGGTTTCTAAAAAAACCAAAAAACCAAAAAACCAAAAAACCAAGAAACTTTGAAAATACCTTGAAAATACCTTGGATCTTGGGACCCTGGGACCCTGGGACCTGCTGCATACAAAGTACCTGCCCATTCTTTGTTTTTCTTCTTCTTTCTTATCTCCCTCCTCTCTCTCTCCTCAATTCTTTACTCGACTCTTCTCATACACACACAGCATCTCTAATTCTAATTCTATCCATCATGCGTTCCTCAATTGTCTTCCTTTCGGCTCTGGCTACTTCCGTCATGGCTCAAAATGCCACTGACACTTACACCTTCCCCGCTGGCTTCAACATCGGTTTGGTAAAGCCTAGCGACCTGTGTATGTACCTTGACAGTTCTTCAAACAACACAATGCTGATCAAATAGCCGGCTACTGCGCCGCTCAGCGCAACACCTGTCCCCAAATTTGCGGACAAGGCACCAAGCTTAACTCGTGTGACCCGGTATGTTGATATGGATCGCGTCTGTATGACCAGGAGATTAACGGTTGGAACAGACTACCCTGAAGTTCGGCTGTGTGTGCAGCGATGGTACCATCCCCGACGTGACCCCTTACTCGCAGACCATTCCTTTCTTCGTCTGCCAGGAAACCTATGTTCAGTGCATCAACTCGCACCCCAACGATGCTGAGGGTCAGCGTGCCTGCAAGAAGGCTGCCGACTGTGGCTCCAAGAACGCCAGTGCGGTGACCACCACCGCTTCTTCCACCATCATGTCTTCGACCACTCTCGCCTTGGCCACTGCGACCGAGTCTTCCAGCTCCGAGACTTCCTCCGTGGCTCCTGCCAGCACGACCACCAACGCCGCTGTCGCTCTCGGTGACCTGACTCAGTACTCCACTGGTCTGATGGCTGGTCTCATGTTCGTTGCTGCGCGCATGGTCCTGTAAAGGAACGAGATTCTTCGGTCTTTGGGAAGCTAATTGCCTCTTGACGGTTGGGTCGCATAGCGTCCTCTTTGTTGTATTCCCTTAACTCATCGCGATGCCATTTGCTTTTTTTTCTCCTCTTCGAGACATTCGATTCCCCTCTGAATACTCTTCATTCATTATGATTGTCCACATGTTTATGAACGTGGCGCCTGTCCTTTCTTGTTTTGCTTTGGCTTGGAGTTCTTTATTTGTCTGCGCAGGTGACCCATTTCGCGCATGAACTATTCGATTAAAAGTAATATCACCAATTATTGCCAACCCCATTAGCCAGGAAAAAAATCGGTGTGAAGGTCGTAGCGTAAATATTAAATATTTTATGTAAATAAAAAGATTCGAAATCGAGTCAAAAGAAGAGTCAAAAGGCAGATCCGTCGAGATGTTTCAACTGTGGTGTTCCTCTCGCCAAGACTTTTTTGGCACACACTGAAATTTCTCAACTTATCGATAGACTCCACCATCAAGAACTTCACGTTCTCTCTTCCTCTCCTTTTCCCACATCCAACATCATGCCCGCCCCTACCAATACCCTCCTCATTGAGGGTTCCTTCTCCGAGCTCGCCGACGAGTTTGCCCAGTACATCGATGCCCTCCGCAAAGAGGGTAGCCTCCAGTCCGAGATCGCCCCGCTCCTCGAACCTCTCCGCCAGCAGGAACAGTCTGAAGGCGAGGCAGACCTTAAGCAGCGCGATGAAGTCCTTAAGAAGCTTGTGTCCTCCGCTACCGCTTTGAACAGTGCCCCCGAGAAGGGTAAGTGGCTGAAAAGTGTCGACAAAAGACTGATCTGGAGATAGTCGGAATCTGGCGACACTTTGTGATCTTTGACGGACAAAAACTAACATAGATTTTTTTAAAAAAACGCAGAGATCACCTCCGCCTACAACCTCCTGGTCCACCTCGTTCACCAGTCTTCCGACGCCGACGTGTTCCTTCCTCGCATCTGCACCTATCTCGCTAAGCCCATCACCACCTCGCCTCAGTTCGGCCCCACGCTCGCCATCTCTATTCTCACCACCATTTTCAACACCCTGTCTTCCAACGATTCGAGCCGGTACCACGTTCTTCTCGCTGTTGTGGCCGTGATCCGCCAGTCTGGATCTGGAATTGCTTTCGAGGCCCTCAAGCCCCAGCTCACTTCGCAGCTCCCCACATGGCTCGCCTCGTGGGAGTTGGACAGCGATGACACCCGGAAGTTGCACATCGCCATTGCCGAGGCCTCCACCGCTGCTGGTGATGAGGATTTGGCCCAGACTCACATCGTCCAAGCGCTCGAGACCATCGACCCTGCCGACGTCAGCAAGCCCGAGAGCCGCGAGTTAGCTGTCCGCGCACTTGCTACCGCTCTGCGTCGCTCCACCGTCTTCGACTTCACTCCCTTGACCGCCTCAGACGCCGTGCAGGCCCTGCGCTCTAGCGACAGCATTCTCTTCGAGCTGCTTGAGATCTTCACCTCGGACACCCTCGACGCCTACGAGACCTTCGTGGCTGCCAACCCGCTCGCTTCCATCTCTGGCGGTGTGCTCGCCGAGTCCGCCGATGCCCTGCAGACCAAGATGCGTCTCCTCACTCTCACCTCGCTGGCATCTTCCACCCCTTCGCGCTCGCTCCCCTACGCCACCATCGCCTCTGCTCTGCGCGTCCCCGCCTCCGATGTCGAGATGTGGGTCATCGACACCATTCGTGCCGGCCTCGTCGAGGGCAGACTGTCCCAGCTGAAGTCCGAGTTCCTTGTGCACCGCGCCACTTACCGTGTCTTCGGTGAGAAGCAGTGGTCCGAGGTCCAAGGACGCCTGATGGTCTGGCGCCGTTCCCTCGAGAACGTTCTGAACGTGATCCGCTCCGAGCGTGAGCGTTTCGCCCGCGAGGGTATCCAGGCCGCGGCTGACCAAGAAGCCAACTCCAACCGCAACGGTAACGGTGACCGCCGACGCATTCAACCCGCGCAGATTGAGGCTACTGCCGAATAGATGTGTCCTTTTTTTTATGAATGGAAAAGTTCACAGAACACAAAAATCTTTCAGTTAATAGAGGGGAAATCTCGCTGTCTTTTCCTCATGCATTTCTTTTTTCCCTGGCCAATTGTAGGGTTGGATTTTTACTGCCCCCGTTGGATGTTTGGGACCGCACGAGTCATGTCATGTCAATCTTAGTCTTGTTTATGTTTTCCGGAGGGATAACTTTCTTTTGTTCTATTTTTTTTTACTCCGGCTTAAAGAATATTATATTTCTTTAGACTGGTCTTGGTTCATATCCGTAATCAACAACTTGATTGGTTTTGAGGGGGAGGCCAAGCATCCATCTAAACAAGCAGCTCAAGTTTAAAAACGCTTAAATTCGTCTATACTATACTCCCAGGGTCTATTTCCAAGTTGAACAAGAAATCACCCAACTCTCACCCCCTAAATTGACCTCAACTCTATTTACATCCATACAAGAACAAGAACACTTCCTAGCGAGCCTGCAAACCACGAGCCTCAATACCGGCCTTAACCTCCTCATAGACCTGCTCAACCGAGCTATCAGCCTTAACCCAAACAACCTTATCCTTCTTCTTGAAATCATCAACAACAGGCATAGAAGTCTCAACAAAGGTACGGAAACGCTTGCGAATAGAAGCCGCATTGTCATCATCACGGCCACTAGTCTCACCACGCTTCAACAATCTAGCCTCCATGACATCCTCGGGGCAATCAAGGAACAAGACAAGCTCAGAGGGACAAACAGTCTCCTCGAAGAAAACAGCCTGGTCGAGCTTGCGCGGGAACCCATCAATCAAGAAACGAGCCTTGGTACCAGCCGGAGGCGGCGAGGTCGCCAGTGAATCGGCCATGGCATTCGACAGCAACGCAACGGTCACTTCCATAGGCACGATCTTGCCTTCGCGGATGTATTCGCGGATCAGCTCGCCGTACTGGCTGCCTTCACGGACTTGTTCGGCGCGTAGGAGATCGCCCGCGGAGAGATGCACGAAGCCGTAGTCTTTGACGAGGTTCGCGGATTGAGTGCCCTTTCCGCTGCCTGGGCCGCCGAGGAAGAAGACGACTGTTACGTCGTTTGGAGAGAAGCGGGGGGTGGACATTGTGGGTGGTTGGTTTTGTTTGTGGTTGGGAGGTTGAGGAAGATGAGATGAATGTTAAGGGGGTTGTTTGTGGGGGTGTGTGTCGGTGTGTGGAGGGGCAGCACTTGTCTTGAAACGGAAGTTAGTTGGGGGGGGTTATTTCTTTTTGTACGGGCTAGGCCTTGCTTACTTCAAGCTAGTCTTTGCGTGTGTTGATGCCGGTGCGGGACTTGACAAGGTAGACGTAGGCGCCGGAACTGATGGCGGTTATGAGGATGATTGGGATGATTGGGAAATTGGAGCGGCTGGATTGAGGGGCGGAGGGTGCGCGTGGCGGCGAAGATCTCGGGGAGTTCGAGGACAGGCGGTGGGGTACCTGGGTCGATCGGGTGAATTTTTGACTGGTGAAGAGCAGAGGCTTGGAGCGGACTCCGGAGAATTGACGGGCTAGAGAGAACATAGAGAACGAGAGAGGCTTGTGGTTGTTGAAGAAGGAAAAAAAGAAAAAAGGAGAGATCGCCGAAACGGGATTAGTTGCTGATCTGTATACCTCGATGCGGTTGTGTACAAACTTCCAAGGTTATGTGTGTACGTCTTCGGCTTCACCTTCAGTGGAAGTGATATTAGGTAAGATCAATAGCTGCTTCATGTTCATGCATGGCCAATAGGAATGGTAAAAATCTATATCCAGATTCCAAGGTTGACTACCGTGTCTTCCACGGCAGACGTCATTCTTCACCAATGGTCACCTTCGTATATATATATCGCCTCGCTAGAACAGTATGAGATACACGCTTCTTTGTTTACAATATTATTGGACCCCAAAGTGCTCAAGGAGCTTCCTTGGAAATATGAGATGTTAATCACGCTTATATATATTTAAACTTGTGAGCAGCTAGCTGCGGATGGATCTAAGGACCTCGGGAGCAATGGCCGTTTTACTAAGCTTTGAATATAGACTCCAGGACTTCAGGAACAACCCCTTTCATAGGGAGGCCCAGCCTAAGTGGACACCGAGGTCATGATTTTAAGATAAGGGATTATGGTTTGCTTCTTGGATTGCAAAACTAGGGTCCGAGAATCATATATGGGTATTATGTATGAGATCAGAGAAGTTTGAGAATCAAACTGGATACAGGTCAAACTCCTATTTAAGAAACCACCTACATCAAAGCCTGCATGTTGTACAATGGAGGAACAAGGTGAATTTGAATTAGGTTGGATCAGAACAAATCAAGGGGTAGACCCGAAATCATCCATTGTACCCAGGTATTTCCGTAGTACATATGTGACACCAAAGCTTTAGCTTTTGCATAGAACGCTAACCCGATACCCACAATTTGAGGTTATTTGCTATTGTTACCCTGGGTACTATGTAGAGGGGATTGATTCTAGGTCGTACGATGTCTCAGAACAGAATGCACAGTTCACCTAGTCCCAACGTACCACCCATGATTTAGGATCCGGAGTAGTATCTTTCCATTTCAGATATCTCGAACTTGTGTAGTGCCGGTAGTATACTATGATTCTGATTGGATTACGGATGAGCGGCAGTGCCAACCTACGTGGGCAGACTCAAGAAATACACCGAGATACATTTCTAGGGCCCATCACGTATTTTGCTATCTCTATAGTTCGGAAAGCCCCCGAGCTCGCCTGTAAATGACAAGTATCTCCCTTCACCTCCTATTATCCATGGTTTCCATTATAAAGCGGACATAATTACTGCCCAATCATGGCTAGACGGTGTTTGATAAAGTCCACGACGTCTTGGTTGTACTTCCATATGTAGTGGTGATGTGCGGCATTGCCGTCTGGTGGGTATGGCGAGCAGCATTGCTCATCACCGTAATCACAATAGCTGCGTATTGAGCTAGAAAAAGGTCCACACAAGGCTGAGTTAAATCGGGGAAGAAGCTGATCCATTCACTTTAGATTGTAATTCGGCACTGGAATCTGGGGGTTTGTAGTACTCACACCTATACCTAGTGCGCAATTACCCACATTCCACGGCATTCCAGGAATGTATGTCTCATCACCATATGCGATCGCAGCTATGACTAGTATTTGATCAGATTCGTGTTCTCTGAAATGTGCCTCGAAATCACGTACTAGTCGAGTGGTAGGATCGTGCGAGAGGGGCGACGAAGAAAAATCCGACCTCACTAGTTCCGCACAGAGAATCCATCATGAGAACTGCTCCCTAGATGGCAATGAGCCTTAGCATTTCGGGTGATTGATTGTCATCATACAAGCACAGATTGTTATGTGTGGATGTGATATTGGCGCACCATTGAATATCCCACTACCACAATCTTAGTTTGGGGGCAACTTTCGCTGTACTCCTGCACAAACTGCTGCATTAGAACAGCACCGTCGTGAACAGTGTGCAATTTGGCATAGTCAGTTAGGACGTTTTGGTGATCGTAGGGTAAGCCGAGGGTTGTCGAGCCGGGGATCTGCTTCAGGATCAGGTCTGAAAGAGTGCTCATCACATTCAAATCATCGCCCCCGCCTTGACCTCTGGCGATAATGGCATGAACACTCGTCGCACATTCATCCTCCGACACAGACTGCGCGTAGGTCTGGGTCAACATAAAAATGACAGTTGATAGTGCCCAAACGATTTTCACGACCACGTTGTACATTTTGTAGGGTATGAAGTCACATTCGAGACTCGAAGGCTACTGTTGATTTGTCCAAGAAGTAGCGCCATCCTTTGAATTTCTTCGCTTGTTGTTTCCTCCTTATAACTTCGGTGTCAAAGAGAAAATCCCCAACTTTGTTGACCGTTGCCTTATTACCCCCCGAGCGTACGAAGTACCGTTACTACAAGGGGCTGGCTAGGCCATGTCAATCTTTGATTGGCACTAATATTTTGAATTCTAATTGTAGATGGTAATATGAATGACATTCATCTTGCTCTTTTCTCGTACATATTCGGGTTAGGGTATGGCGAGACACGTAATACCAAATGTCGAAGTATGGAGGCAGATATTTTGAGATTGTAATCTACAACATTGACGTGTCATAGCTCAGCTTAATTGCCGCCCAAGCTTTAAGTACATCAACTTGGCTATATATTAGAGCTCCATCGGCTAGAGTTCCCAGCGCTTCGAGAACGGTAGCACCCGAGGAACTATACTAGTGCTTTGGGAGAGTAAAATAGCAGTAGGCAAGTTTTCGATTACAATTCTAACTGGTTTAGAGAGAATTTTGTCGCCCAGAAAAGCTGCTATAACTGCTGGTGGGTAGCACACCATCTCGATTTGCTGATACTCGGGCTGGCCTTCACTCCACAAAGAAGGCAAGAGGCAACGCTGGATAAGATTTGGGTGAATAACTGTATATCAAGGTTCAAAATCTAACTATTTTGCAGAATATGGTCTTTTAGGATCTGGAGCTCTTCAAACGTGAGTTCGTGTATTCCTCAACGGGCCTTGTGCTGTCACACCGCGTACAGAAGGACTTTGTACTTCCCATGAACCACCGCCCTCGACTACACTTGATATGTTCTATCAATTAAGTCTCGCACCGCATTTCCCAACTCTGTGATGACCGGGCCGGACCGAGGAATAGTGTGGCCCCGTCCAGTGTCGAACATCGCTGCAGTATCAGGGTCACAAATGTTGAACAAGGCTAGCGCGCCGTATCGGTAGGGGTCTGTGCCAAAGACACATAGTGAGTATATTGTTTGACATGGGCAATACGCAATTAAAATTACCATCCGCACCAACCACGTGAAGCGTCGGAATGTCCAGGGTATAGTCGCTCTCATCTGCTAGGACCACGTCCTCCTCGGGGGAGAGAGGAGGCCAGCCGGTGAAGAAAACCGCGCATTTTATTTGACGTGGACGGCCAGTCTCCTGTGCCTTTCTATCCTCATCAAGGATTAGACTTGCAGCCATTGTAGCACCCTCGCTATATCCGATGATGCCTTCGATATCGGGGTTCTTCTCCAGCGTATCATAGAGGTACTTCATGACTTGATGGTGATTGTTCCAGTGGCCATCCCAGTCTTTACCCAACGCTCTCATTGCATCTTCAGGGGACGAGCCATGGGGAGATTTTCGAACACGAGATATCATCGAGTCCTCTGCTACTCCTCCATCCTCCAACCACCGGTAGTGTGGCCCGATACCAAAATATTCCGTGAACCCTAGGGAAATTATCTCGTCGGATTTTATCAATGTTTGAGCTCGAAGAGATCGTACCTGCCGGTGGAGATACAGGAACTGGACCGTTGATATAATGGAACGAAGCGAAACCGTCCATGGCCATCTGCTTCACTAGCGGATCTGCAATATTATCAGTGGTTCCTCATTCCCAATCCCTAAAGTTAAATCACAATTACCAAGCTGGATATTGATATTCTGCGATAGAGAGGTTAGGATCGATGTTCGTCATAATGTCTCCCATAACCTACGTCGATGTTGCCAATGGCACCATGAAGACATAAGAACCTCATCTTTGTATCAACATGCAACAATCTAGGTGGGGAATATATGATCTGATCTTGCGTACTCGAGACAAAAAGGAGGGGAGGCAAGGATGAAATATAGAAATCAGTATTGAAGACAAACTGCAAGTAAATAGTAGGAAATACGTAAATTACCGCTCGGGCTGTACGAATGGTGTAAAGCAAATGAAATAGAAGCACGGGATTTCCGCCGAGAATCAACTTCCCACAAACAGTTGCTCGATCGAATAATGTGGGACGGTACAACATTCAGTCAAAGTCACCAATTCGGGAATAACCACCGATCACCCAATGCTAGCAGAGCATCGATGGCCCGGAGCAGAGACAGCTTCACTGAGCCGTGCACCCCCAAAATAACCCGCAGCAGGAGTGCTGGGGTGAGGTATTTGCAACTCTATATAATGCATCATAGCCACCCAGGCAGCCCATTTCCCCGATTTTCCCGATGTCGCCTATGTGGCCCCCATAAATCCTTTAGAACCGCGTTACAATTGCACCTTCTGCACTCTTCACCATGACAAACATGAACGGTGCTGGTTCTGAAGGTGCTCCTCATGGCGAGCAGGGCACACCCCAACCTATCGCTATCATCGGGTATGCTTGCCGGCTGCCAGGGCAAGTTACATCCCCTAGTGATCTGTGGGAACTATGCACCCGAGCTCGAAGTGGCTGGTCACCCATTCCCAAAGACCGCTTCTCCGTCGAAGCATTTCGCCACCCTAACCCGTCCAAGGTTGGTTCCTTCAACCCGAAGGGAGGCTACTTCCTCGACGAGGACATTGCCCGTTTTGATGCTCCCTTTTTTAACCTCACCGTCCAAGAAGCTACGTCCATGGACCCCCAACAACGCTTGCTGCTGGAGTGCGCATATGAGGCGTTGGAGAGTGCTGGCATTCCCAAAGAGAATCTTGCCCACCGAAACGTGGGCGTTTTTGCCGGAGGTAATTTCTCTGATTATGAGCTCAATAACGTCCGCGATATCGAGACTATCCCCATGCACCAAGCCACCGGCTGCGCGGCCTCTCTGCAATCCAACCGCATCTCATACTTTTTCGATCTACGGGGGCCTAGTATCACAGTGGACACGGCTTGTTCTTCTTCACTTGTCGCACTCCATTATGCAGTACAAAGCTTGCGAAGTGAGGAGTCTGAGGAAGCCCTCGTTGTTGGTTGTCACCTTAACCTTGTACCGGATATTTGGGTTTCTATGTCCATGTCACAGTGAGTGCTTTTGTGTTCTCTAAGCCAAGTTCGGGACCATAACATCTAACTGTACGAAATTACATAGGCTGTTTAATGATGAGGGTAAAACCTTCTCTTTCGACGAGAGAGCCACATCCGGTTTTGCGCGAGGTGAGGGCTCTGGTGTCGTAATTCTGAAACCTCTAGACGCCGCATTGCGTGATAAAGATACCGTCCGAGCTATCATTGTACATTCAGGAGTCAATCAAGACGGGAGAACACAGGGAATTACACTACCAAATGGGCAAGCCCAGGAAGAGCTAATTCGGCGGGTCTATAAAGAAGCCAACCTCAATCCAGACGAATGCGGGTTTGTAGAAATGCATGGAACAGGAACAAAGGCCGGCGATCCTATCGAAGCTACAGCAGTCCATGCGGCACTCGGAAGGAATCGCACCCCGAGGAGCCCGCTTTACATTGGATCGGTCAAATCCAACATTGGGCACTTGGAGGGCGCCAGTGGCATAATTGCCATCATTAAAGCAGCCATGATGCTTGACAGAGAGTTGATGCTTCCGAATGCTGAGTTCAAGAAAGCGAATCCTAATATTCCTATGAGCGAGTGGAATATGAAAATTTTAACGACGACGCGGCCCTGGCCTTCTCACAGAAAATACCTTAGTGTGTCTAACTACGGATTTGGGGGTACCAATGCACATGCCGTTCTTGAAAAAGCACCGCTATCGTCCAAAGCCCCAGATGAAGCTGTTGAGGATGTTGAGGTGGACCCCAAACGCAAGCTGTTCTTGATCTCTGCCAACGACAAGGAGTCTCTACGAACTAGGATTAAAGATTACGGTATCTACTTCGAACAACACCCAGAAGTTTTCGAAAAGACTCTATTCGGCAACTTTGCTTATACTCTAGGGAACAAGATGTCCCAACTCTCATACCGAGTTGGCGTGTCAGCTACCTCGCTAGATGAACTTGGAATCCGTCTTGCTCAACTGAAGATCAACCCATCCAGGGTTCTAGGCACCCCGATAGTCTCGTTTGTCTTCACGGGCCAAGGGGCTCAGTGGGCACGGATGGGTGTTCCTCTTATGCATGAGTACCCTATCTACAAGTTGGCCATCACACGAGCCGATCAATGCCTACGGGATCTCGGCGCTGAGTTCTCACTTATCGAGGAGTTGGAAAAGGATGCCAGTACCTCTGAAATTGACACTCCCTATCTGAGCCAACCGGCCTGCACAGCGCTTCAGATTGCACTAGTCAATCTTCTGGAATCTTGGGGAATCCGTCCTGCTTCAGTCGTTGGCCACAGTTCTGGAGAAATTAGTGCAGCCTACGCTGCGGGGATTTATGACTTGGAGGGAACCATGGCTCTAGCTTACTGGCGTGGTCAAATGGTCTCCTTACTCAAATCCTCGTTCCCGTCCCTCAAGGGCACCATGATTGCCGTTGGCACCAGTTGCGAGGCTATTCAGCCTATGTTGAAGGCTCTATCTGGTTACGCCACAATTGCTTGCGTGAACAGTCCTTCCAGTGTGACAGTGTCGGGAGATGTGTCCGCAATTGATGAACTCGAAAGGGTTCTTGAAGACAAGAAACTTTTCAACCGGAAATTGAGGATTGATGTTGCCTACCACTCAGACCACATGAAGAAGGTTGCTGAGGCTTACTTGACTGCGATTGAGACTATCCAGCGCTTCCCATCGGCAACTCCATCTTTCTTTTCATCTGTGTTTGGACGCTTTGCAGAACCTTCTGAGCTTGGTCCAGGATACTGGATTGCGAACTTGACATCACCGGTGTTGTTCTCTGATGCGCTTGGCAAGATTGTGTCGGATGATGAAACACGCCCCAACCTTCTTGTGGAAATTGGTCCACACTCTACATTGAAGGGCCCCATCATGGATACTCTGAAGAGCTTGGGTCCCACTGTCTCCAAGATTGCATATACACCAACCATTCTTCGTCAAGTGGATGCGGCTGAGTCGGTTTTAGATACCGCCGCTGCGGCCTATGTGCGAGGTGCGACACTCAATATGACAGGAGTAAATTTCCCCAAGACCAGTGCAGCAAACCGTTGGTTCTTAAGTAACTTGCCTCGTTACCCTTGGCAACATGGAACTCGGTACTGGCACGTTGCCCGTATTTCGCAGAAGCATACGGGCAGAGATCGTGCCAGGAACGATGTCTTGGGAGTATTGGCAAATTATTCAAATGATCTGGAGCCAACATGGCGGAACATCATCCGCTTAGATGAGGTTCCCTATCTCCGGGACCACAAGATGCAGGGGGTGGTCGTTTACCCCATGGCAGGCTATGTAAATTCAATAAATGATGACTTATCTAAGTTATTCTTACTGACTGTCCAATAGTTGGTGATGGCTATTGAGGCCGCTCAACGACGCGCGGAGCAAGCTGATATTCAAATCTCCCAATTTGAACTAAGGGAGGTTATTGTGGGCTCAGCACTTGTGCTCAGTGATGATACAGATGCAGAGACCACCATTACTCTCCGCCCATACGCTGAAGGCACCCGTGGATCATCTGATATTTGGGATGAGTTCCGTGTCTGCTCATGGACCTCAAAACGAGGATGGACAGAGCACTGTACTGGTCAGGTGCGGGTTCGCTCCGATCCGAAACAGCAGGCCGCTGCGATATCGAGCCCATTCGAGACTCAAACCACCCACACGAAAGCTCAGATTGACCGAATTCAGAAATCAGCCACTAATTACCTCGATATGTGCCATATGTACCAGGCTCTTAGTGATCTAGGAGCCGGATATGGTCCTATCTTCCAAGATATTGATAACTGCTACTCCAGCCCTCACCACTCGTTTGGCGATCTGTACGTTAGAGATACCCGCAGTGTCATGCCGAAGGGATTCGAACCTCCCTTGACCATCCATCCATCGTTTCTGGACGGACTTCTGCATTTTGCCTGGCCTCTCCTTGGCCAGGGACTGGGCCGAATGGACCTAGACACGCTGTATATGCCGACAATGATCAAGCGTGTGACAGTCGGTCTCAATGTCCCAACCACTGCTGGTGAATACCTCAAGGGTTACTGTAGTGGTAGTCCCAGCTTGCCTTCTCCCGAGCCGACCAAATTTGACCTTTTTGCCACCCAAGAGGGCTCTACGGAGCCCGTAATTACAATAGATGGTCTGGTAATGACTCCTCTCAGAAACCCAGACACTCACCGCGAAGATACTCGCAAACTGTGCTATAAGGTTGATTGGCACCCCTTGGCCGAGGTTGAGAACGCCGTTGAAGGAGACATTCAGGATCGCAATGGCCTTGCAGAATTCCATGGCCATACTTGCATCCCTGGAGATGCAAATACGAATGGAAATACAGAGCTGAAAGGTAACACTCATGCAGATGGGAATTCTACCAAGCCCAAGCACAATCTATTCATCACCCAATTTGGCAAAGCTGATGGTACTGCTGATAAATTGAGCATTGCACTGTCCGATGGATCTGGATGGCAGATTTCAGTCCGAACATTTGGTGAAACGGACTTCTCTCAGAAGCATCTCGTTATACTTCAGACTGGAGCTAGCTCCCTGCGATATCTCACCGAGGAGCTATTTGAGGAACTCAAGAACGCACTGCTTAATGCTCAGACTGTGCTCTGGGTCTACCGTACTGATTCCCCCGATGCTCAAATGACAGTCGGTTTGACTCGCACCTTGCGCTCGGAGACATTGGCTAGGATAGCTACTCTTGGGTTGGCTCCTAGTGACATCGAATATCCCGAGAAGCCTATTCAGGCAGCCATTAATGCTCTATGGCCCACCGATGGGACCCAGCCCTCAAAGGATCTCGAGTTCAAGTCCAAAGGCCCAGAGCTCTTTGTCCAACGCGTGGTGGAAGATGATGTTGCTAATAGTTTCGTCCACAATGAGACCCACGACATGACAATCTCAACCCAACCATTCAGTCAGTCTGGGCGATGCTTCAAGATCCAGATTGGCAATCCGGGTGCTCTCGATTCCCTCTACTTCATAGACGACAATCCTCTACCACTAGGTGAAGACCAGATCGAACTTCAAGTCAAAGCAAGTGGCCTTAACTTCAAAGATATCGTGGTCTCGATGGGCCAGCTTGCACAGTCTTATATCGGAATTGAATGCAGTGGTGTTGTTTCCAGTGTAGGATCAAATGTGAAGAATTTCAAGGTTGGTCAAAGAGTCATGGCCATGCCAGAAGGCTGTTTCTCAACCTACGCACGATGCTCTGCGACCAGCGCTGCAGAAATCCCAGCCGGCATGTCATTCGAGGTTGCAGCCACAGTACCAGTTGTATTCTGTACGGCATACTACTCTCTGTTTGACCTAGGTCACCTGCAAGCCGGTGAGCGGGTTTTAATCCACGCCGGTGCTGGTGGTGTTGGCCAAGCCGCCATAATGCTAGCTCAGATGATCGGCGCAGACATATTTGTTACAGTCGGAAGCATCGAGAAGAAACAGTTCTTAATTACTCAATACGGTATTCCCGAAGACCGCATTTTTTATAGTCGTGATGCATCTTTTGCTCGTGGCATTCGAAGGGCTACAGGTCAGGTCGGTGTGGATGTTATCGTCAACTCCCTAGCAGGCGACCTTTTGCGAGAGACTTGGGAGTGTCTTGCGCCGTTCGGACGATTTGTCGAGATTGGCAAGGCTGATATAACGAAGAATACCCGTCTTGACATGCAGCCTTTTGAACACAACGTCACATTCTCGTCGGTTGATCTCACCAAGGTCGGTAATTTCAAGCCGCATCTGATGAAGCGCCTCCTAGGCGATGTTTGTCGATTGATCAGTGAGGGCTCGGTGCATCCCGTCCTCCCACTTTCGATTTATCGAATTTCCGATATCGAAAAGGCATTCCGTACACTACAGATCGGTAAGAGTATGGGTAAGATTGTGGTCGTTCCTCATGAAGATGACCAGGTCAAGGTAAACACATTATCCGTGATCATATGTTCAAATCTAATCGTTCATTTTCAGGCTGTAGCTCCCAAGACCAGTTCCACTCTCTTACGACCAGATGCGTCCTATATCTTGATTGGTGGTACTGGTGGTCTAGGCCGAAGTATCGCCAAGTGGATGTCCTCAAAGGGCGCAAAGAACATTGTCCTTGTGTCTCGTCGAGCCGCCATTAATGACAAAGTTCAAGCGTTGATTGATACCTTAGCTCCACTTGGAGTGCAGATTATCGTCAAGGCTTGCGATGTCAGCAGCCAAGAGTCTGTCGAGGCTTTGGTTAACGAAGAAATGAAAGACTTCCCCCTATACGTGGTGTTATTCACGGTTCGATGGTGCTTCGTGTAAGTTTTCTGCTACGAGGATTCATTTATGCTATCTATTTTCAATTAATGACCCTATTTAGGACATGCTCTTCGAAAACATGTCTCTTGAAGACTTTACAGCAGTGTCATACAACAAGGTAGAAGGGGCTTGGAATCTACATAACACGCTGATCAATTCCCCACTAGATTTCTTCATTGTCCTCTCATCAGTGGCCGGGATAATCGGCAATCGCGGCCAAGCAGCATACTCCGCAGCAAATGCATTCCTGGATGGATTCATAGAATACCGCAAATCCCTTGGTCTTCCAGGAACATCAATCGACCTAGCTGCAGTAAGCGACGTCGGCTACCTGGCCGATACCGACGCTCAGCGACGCCAGGAAGTAATGAAGAATATCGGCGGCCAGACCATCGATGAGTCGGAAGTCCTGGCGTTGATAGCTGCCGCTCTGACAGGTGATCTTGAGCAGTCCTGTTCTGGGCAGTGCATCACAGGACTGCGAGTTGATTCACTCGAGAACAATTTCTGGATCCAGGACGCGAGGTTCAGCTTGCTATATGAGGCTGCTAGGGGCACACTGGGAAGTAGTTCACAGAGTGACGGCCCGTCGGTGCCGCTGCACGTCACTTTGTCGGCTGCCTCATCTAAGGAGGAGGCTTTGAAAGTGTGCTACGAGGCGCTGGCTGCGAAGTTAGCACAGGTGCTTGTTCTCTCTTTGGAGGATATGGATCCATCAATTACAGTGGTTTCGTTGGGCCTTGACTCGCTGGTGGCTATTGAGATTCGTAATTGGATTGCCCGTGAAGCCAATGCCAATGTGCAGGTTTTGGAGTTGCTGTCGGGTGGAAGTTTGATGGCCTTGGCTGAGATTATCCTCAACAAATCTCAGGCTTATTATATCCGTCCTGAGTGAGAGGATGATAGCATTGGAGTGATGGTGGCAGTATACGAGCCGTTAGATCTTATGTATATTTTATATGTTGTGTCCTGAATATCTGCAGATTGCCTTCATTTGAGACTTCCAAGCTCCCTAGGTAACACTACACAGGCCGGATGTACTCCGTACAACAGTAACCAGTACGATGTACAACATAAGTCAGTTATTTGTCTAAGGGAATGCTAGTGTATATTACCATTGGGGTTCATAAGAGTGAACCCCAGACTGATTCGTGAATATGTGCTTCATTATAGTAGATTGAGACGTGAACGTGGTTAAATTGTGTATTATAGATATAGCGTATAGATGCTGAAGAGCAAAGCTATTTTGGGTAGCAGGAACTCGAGCTAGAAAGAATCAAAAACTAAAGAATTGTCAGTGGTAATGGTACGAAATATGTTGTTACCTATCCAGATGAGGTGTAGGTTTTGCAGGGAAATTGGCAGGAGTATAATAGAGCCAGTTCATGCAATAGTGAACTTTAGAGACATAGAGGGTTGATTCCACATAGGGGGTCAAGGAAACAAATATGGACTAGCTCGGGGAATAGAAAAGAATGGACGAAATCAAAAGTACCACCTTGAGTTCGAGAAAACGTAGGACACGTTAATAGAAATGAGATGAAGAACGAGACCGAACTCCAGGATTAAAAACCCAACCAAAACCATATTGAGAAAACCATGTGGATTCCAACCAGAACTCCCCGTTGATGCTAAACGATTCGACTGTTGAAAAGGCAAGAAAAACGCTCTCTCCACAACTCCCGTCCGGGGATGCCCATGCAGATGAGAAAACAAAAAGGCCACGAAACCCCATCACCTATCATGCGCCAATGGTCCGGTGAACATGGTTAAAAAAAAAAGAAAATCACAACGAAAGAGACAGCTAGAGATCTATGCTCAGCGTTGGGTTCATGCATCACTCCTGTTAACCTGCAGATTTACAGCTGAGTGGATTTCTCGGCAACGGAGACAGCCACTGCGACTGCTGCGCCGAGAATGGCGCTTTCAGGCGCCGGATTGAGACGGATGGAGCACCCGGCTCCAGGATACGTTTCCTCGGTCAACTGATCCAGGTAGTTCTGGCAGGCAGCGCGGAATCCAGGATACTTGTTGATGACGGCACCGTCGCAGGCGATAGAAAGGTTCTTATCCGAGTCTCCGCTTTCGATGACGGTGATTTCAGGTGATTCCTTATCGAGAGAATCAACGGTGGATGGGGATGCGGGGAATTCTACCTCGTTACGGAGGCACCACATGCTGTGGATGGCTGTCGCCAAGTATCCAGCGGCACGGCGGGAGACTGTCTGAGAGATGCGGCGTAGGAATCGCAAGTCTTCGACGGAGGGTTGGTTGTGGAAGGTATGCTGCTTTTGCAGGAGGGCGGAGGAGGTGGAGAGGGAGGTGGAGGAGTCATCCTCAAGGCATGCGATGATGCTTGTGTCGAGGGAATATGGTTCACGCATGGAGTGCGGCAGCTCGCCGCCGAATAGGCGGGCAGACTCGGTTGCCTCGACAATAATTAAACGCACAATCTCGCCCAAGTACCGACCTGTGATCATGTACTCGAGCGGCTGGTAGTCGGGACGCAGATGCGTGCGGTTCAATATGTCATCCCACCGTGTCATGGGCAGCACGCCCCCACCAAACATACTCATCTCGGTGTTAATGAGAACATGCTTGGCGTGGTCGAACCAGCCCTCTGGACGGACTCCAAACTTGGATGTTCCAATCTCCTGCACGGGGAAGTGAATCGCCATGTTGGTACCGGTACCCAAGATAAGAGACATGCGGGTCTTAGGATCGACGTAGGCACGCGACAGTAGCGCTGCCGAGCTGTCGTTCACGATGGCGGCAACCTCTACGTTCAAATTGCGCTTGCGACAGGACTGGATCAAGAGATCACCCAGTTCCTGGCCTACCGTGCCATTGGAGGCTTTGAATCCCTTACCCATATGGATCACCAACCCGCTGCTGTGCGACGTCTGTTCAATGGGGAAAGACCAGGACAGACCCATCCCCAGCGGGACATCGCCACGCCCGTAATCTGCTCCAACTTCCTTCAGGATGGTTTCAATCTGTCCTGCCATCCAATCGAAAAACTGTGTCCCCTCCAGCATCTTGAGTTTTTCGTCAATGTGTACAGATGACACTTTCAAGATGCGCACTTCCTCATCCCGACCATTCAATTCAATCAGAGCTACGCGAAACGTCGATCCGCCCACGTCTAATGCCAGATATGTGCCCTTTTCCGAGCCAGCGGGGAGCGCGGTATCGTAGGATGGAAGCATGCAGAATGGGCTAGTCTGTAAACATTCTCGGAACTGTGCGCGAATCTTCTCGGACATGTCGATCATGTTGCGCGTTGACAGCGGCGTCGAACACGAGGTCTCCACTTCTTCGGCGAAGTCATCGAGGCTGCGGCGTTTCCAATGGGCGCCTAGGAACGTTTTGCGGCGGCGTCGCGATATACCGCGGAAGAATGAGGGGAATAGGATCATGCTTTCGAGTGCGGTGACCACGTTGTGGAACAACTCTTGCAATCGGTGTAGCACCTTGACCAGTGGTGCCGACATCGTCGGGGGAGGGAGATGGAGGAGAGGCAAGACCGCAAACCGGGGGCGAGGAATCGAAGTTCACTATGATAAAGTGTGGAGGATCATGGAGCAAAGATCAAAAAGAGAAGAAAGATCTAAAGTTATAACCTTCGGAGGTTTGGGGGGGAACAAGCCAATGTGACACTCCCACTGGAGTTGTGTCTTGAGTGGATCGGTGGGAGTGGAAGCAATAATCCCCACCCGAAGAAAGTGGAAAGGAGAGAGAAGAAAAGAAGAGAAGAGGGAAAAGAAGGGTGTTGACCCCTAAGCATGGATCAACATTGGCCCATTCTTGAGTTGACAGTGTCACCGCGAGTGCAACTGTTTGGGAGAAGAAGCCCTTGCGGTGTCGCAATGCGCATGGTATGGTAATGTAACGGTAATTTATTGCTCTATGTTGTGCAGGTGATTCTTCGGAGTATTACTACTTATACTATTATAGAGTCACATTGAAATAACGCCATTTTTATATTATATACCACTTAATATGCAATTTAATATAGCATATAGCATATATCATCTACAGAAATACCACACCTGTAACATTTGGTGGAGTGGAGTTACATGTCCCTATATAGGAGAAGAAGAACAGGTGTAATCGTATTAATAGATGGTTATAGAGTACAGATTGATTATATTCCTTAGATAGAGCAATAAGGTATTCCAAATCATTAAATAAACATAATAACATAATAAATATATAATACGGAGCACCGGCATTCCCAATGTACCCGTACATACTCAATGACCCCCTTGAGTGCAACGGTGGTAGTCGGCCCAACTAAGAGGGGGGGGATGGTTACATGTGGAACTAAATCTTCTATTTAAACCTCTCTTCTTTGATTTTTTCCCCCTAGTGAAGACCTCTCGAGCTGATTTTCACCTTTTATCTTCTTGGCAATTTGAAACCTGAAACATCCATGCTATTTAGTCCAATACCCTAATCTAGGAATTATATTCGGCGTTACACCGTATTTCTTGATAACTCCATACAAACTGTTGTATGCTTTTCCTCTTTAGCTCTTTTTTTTTTTTTTTTAACTCGACCTATCATCTTACGCTAGAACTATAAGAGCATAGTGTCTCTAGTACTTTCATGTATCCAACTAGACTTTGCTCCTGTCACCCTATCACCCTGTCACAGCAGGTAACAGGGTCCTCCCCTTGAGCCTCATCAACCACGTAGCGTTGAATATAAGTAGTTTATGCTTATCCACGCCCCCGGGGTGTCAACCATTTGCCACTGTTAATCATAATGACATCCTCCGAGGCTTTAAAAGGATCAACATTCCATCTTGTTTCAGATCTCCAAAATCTGACTTTGCTGGCGATGTTCCAGTAAACTATAGTGACATCATCTATGTTGCACGCATCACATCATACCTATCTAGGTAAAGCAAAGGGATAGGTAAACTTAATAGCCCTTGTGCCATCTTTAGGTCTCAGCAAGATCATGATTATGTCAGTCGGGGAGATACACGTTCATGGGTGGACCCGTGGACAGGACAAGAAAGGCAACGATATCATCGAAGGTAACTTCGTCTACAGTTAGGGGGCGGGTCACATGAGGGCGAGGTAGGATTCCTGTACTATAGCGGTCCTTTCGTCTGTGCTAGACTCCTACGGCACAGATTGACTCGTCAGTGGGTCGAAACAATCGTCATGGTCGGCTACCCTAAGGCAAGTCCAACACTAGCAAGAACCTTGAAACCCTTTTCACTATTCTTGGAGAACAATCTCACCCGTACTTGCCCAGGTCATTGTACTCGCTGCTCCGTACCGATTCCGCAATCTGTACACGTTGTAGGTCGTCTCCACCGGTTAGCATGGCCACCGAGTCGCTCACCATCCAAACACTGTAACAAAGCAAAGCAAAAGCATATCTGATTAACTAGGAATATATGGTTCGCGTAAATATCAATCCTGGAAGACGTGATGCACTGCAGCAGGGATAGTAGGGTTTCTTGATGGATTACGCGAGAACAACAATGAGCGCCACAATGTCTTGCTATGCATAAAAGTCTATGTGGGAAAAATACAGCCATTTTACCACTAGACCATAACAAAAACCATGATTCTTGTTTAAGGCCTAAGGGGGCCATATCCCATTCTGACAGTCTAGACTATAAACTGCTCCTACAAGGTAAATTCATTTTAGTCTTTGTGAACAATGCATTTGTCTTAATATTTGGCCTGGCAAGTAAGTTATAGCAGTCACAGATGTCGACGAGATACCTTTGTGCCCCAAGACAGTATTGTCTAGGTCATCTCGTCTTCTTTGTGTACCTTTCAGCTCCCCCTAGTGGCATTGTTCTATCCATTCTCTCTTGTGATAAAATGCCGTGGTTTGCCTTGGTATTACATGGCTATAGATATAAAA